ACCCCCACTTCGCGTCTCGGCGTCTCGGCGGCCGGCATCGCGGCCTGGGTCGCGCCACCACCGTCGCCAGAGCTGCCCTCGCCGCACTCGGTCATCTCACACCACTCGTCCGCGCGTCCGCGGCGCACGTCAGTATCGCTCAGCGCTCCCACCTCGCTGACTCTGCGGTCACTGGAGGCGCGTGCCCGCACCGCGGCGGGTTCTGCGGCGCGCCGGTAGGTGGCGGTGACGGCGCCCCGGGCGAACTCCGCCCCCACACAGCAGGCGTCTCGAGACGTGGCGACGCCGAGCACGTGACGTACGGCGGCAATCTCGGCGTGTGTGTCACGCGTGCGATACGCGCTCGTCGCGGAGGGCTAGCGGAAGCGCGGGGTGGGGTGCCCTGCCGCCCCGGCACCGCGACGAGAAGTACCTCGCTGTTGTTTGGGACTCTCACGATACGCTGCCCCACCTGTTTGTCAGTCGGATACCATCGCCATGTCCTCGTTAACATGCGTGATGCGGTAGACATGACTGACTGCCTTACCGTACAATGTACACAAGCAGCGATGAAGGCACTCACGTTGGGGTATATTTGTGTGTTAGTGTGAGTTACCCGATTGTTTTCGGGCGCACGATGACAGCTCGATTTATCAGCTGTGACAGAGCACTGCACAAACACGTGCCGTTACATTACTCAACACAAGGTGAATTATTTGACTTCCCTCTGCCTGGCAACATCCAGCTCAGCTGAGATCCGCACGTCCCCTGCCTTGCAGCGTTGGGCTCTCCAGACCGAAATGTCATCCTAGATACATTAGCATTCGACACTGAAGTCAGGTTCATGACGCGATCGAGCATGGGTGTCGCTGACTGCCACCACCGCTTCATAGAACCGACAAAAAACAACGGCAAAAAACGGAGAACTACCGAGACTGTCGTTTTCCCTCCCAGGCTTACCCAGCCCAGACTGGAAGGTCGGTATGAGAGAGGGGCTTTGGGGCTTCGGCGTGAGCCCCAACATTCGGAAAATTTACCGCTAGGCTTGCGGCGGTGCATGGAGAGAAAGCCCTCAAACTATCTCTGAGCCCGCTAATCCTAGGAGAACTCCCTCGGTACTGATCGAGTCACTCGAAAGTAGATCTCGTTCCAGTACACTGTGTCTTGCCAGAGCCGGCTCGAGGGGCGGAGCCATGGACATTATGGTGCGACCATTTGGGACCTATGCTGGGGCCCAGCGAGATGACCATATGGACCCCGGCAACACTGATAACCGTCCTAAGGTTTAGTGTCACCAGGAACTTGGGCGTGTCCAGTATGCATGAAAAAGATAAAACTATTCGCCATTTTCCAGGGTATAATGTTTGTTACTTAACGTCGAGAATATAATAAAATTGGAGGGGGGAGGGGGAACAAACCCTCCTGAGCCCCATCCGGTAGCAACGCACCGGAAAGTGCAACGCTGCAACGTTTTTCACCTTGCCGAAATGCTGGTTCCAATTCTGCACCTTTTGCCATAAATGCATCTGGGGTGCATTTATGATAGCATTGACAACGCGTCCATGATGACTGGTATATGGAAGCAGGTAAACTTTACTTTGGATCAAGCTTGGGCCGCATGCTCCACCGCATGACACTGCGAAAGGAAGAGACAATTGCCGCCCTCTCCTTTCCAAAATTCATCATCATTCTTACAGCGTTTCACGGAAAGAAGCCCTCTTAAAAAGGCCCAGGGCTCTCTTCTCGAACCCTTTCCGCATGTCGAGGCCGGTGAGCCTTTAGCCATGTGGACTGGAACAGCCCGAGCCGCAGCATGCGGTGTGCGGACGGTCCCTGGTCGCGCCGGCGCCGCCGGACAAAGGCATCAACGGCCACGGGCAGGCACGCTCACACATGCAAGGTGCTCACGCAGGCGCGGAGCTTTTTCCAGCGCGTACAAAACGCAGTGCAATATGTGACGTTGTGATGGACACATCGACCCTGTTTCAGCAGCCAAATTCCCGGCGACGGAGTTTTAAGTAAAGGACTTCACAGGTAAGACTTCCTTTGCTCCGCGCACCAGCTTCCCGTGGGGCCGTGCTCCAGCTTCCCGTGGGGCCGTGCTCATACCTACCCACTGCCAGTTCCCGATCAGTTGCACCTATCCGTTGTCAACCCGCTGGACTGAACAGCTTCAGTAAAGCATATCCCTAAACGTACTCTTTTGCGTTGATAATTGATAACCTGGTGTGAATGTTATGACTAAAAGAAGCGCAAGCAGCATCATGGTGCAAGTTTTCTCAAGTATAACCCCACACTCCGAGTGCATATCACTCACACATGTGCCCATACCCGTATTTGCCTAAATATGCATCCAACCCAGCCCGTTACCCATTCGATATAAGCATCCATGTATCCATCCAAGTGGTGAACTATTCTAGTCTCTCAAGGATATTGTATGTATCCTCAGCAAGGTTATGCTCGGATTGAAATTATCGAAGGAGGCCCAGTTACGTTTATTTTCCGGAGCTACATGGTGCCCCGTGAATTTGCAAAGCATTTAAGGCCAGAGGCTGATAGACGTACAAATGATAATTGCCCCTAATATTTTCGCCAGCAGTGGTATCATATGACCGGACGACGCTGATATTATGCTAATTGCTAATGTTTACTGTGTGTTACTCACTGCTACAACACACACATACACACACACACACACACACACACACACACACACACACACACACACCACACACACACACACACACACACACACACACACACACACACACACACACACACACACACACACACACACACACACACACACACACACAACCACACACACACACTACACACACACACACACTTACACACACACACACACACACACACACATATATATATATATATATATATATATATATTATATATATATATATATATATATATATATATATCAGTGTATCTGCACAGAACATTTTCCTTTATACATGCTTGATAAAGGATGGCCGTTGACTCTGCATTACCGAGCTTCTTGATGCATGGTTGGACCATTATGTTCTGCCAGCATGTACCAATGTGGAGGATCAATTCAAATGAGATCTCGAAGGCTGCAAACTTCGTTTCATACCCTACATTGGCGTAACATGACACTCTCACGACGTTTGACAATGCGACGGGGAGCCTCTGGAGCACATGCGTCACGAACATGAAAGGAGATTAGCATAACTGACGGACGGCGGTGACCTTCCTGGGTACCGGCGTGACTAAACAAACACAAATCAAGATATACGACTTGGCAATTTGCCTTTGTAGGCTGCGCCGCAGATAACAGCAGTCGCGTATTCCGATGAACTTCTCTTACGAATGCAGCATAATGGTACGTTCCGGCGGCGCAGTATATCTGATACCCCTCGAATGTTGAATCTGCGCATTATGGAGGCACACTCCTTTGATCGAATTATAACAATTTCCTCAGCCCTTCATGAACGTCAAAACATGTAACAAAAGATATACTTGCTTTTATGTTAACGACGCAGAACTGATACATGATTTCAGAAAGCTGGCCAAATGTTTTACTGCCGATATTATATTGCGATAAAAGTCTACTGACTTCGCCGCTTTCCGCTACAACCATAAAAATTGCACCTTTGCGTTGCGCGGTGTTGCTTCAGCTATTCGATTAAGAATGAAGGTACGAGATACGGCTTTTGCTTTAAACCATTCCTTGTAAGATCATCGACCTACAAAATGCGGCTTTCTGCTGGTTTCCTCGCACGTAAGTCAACGACGGCTTGTCATTCGTGTCATATTGTCGTGCCTGACTTCGATGGTATACCACTGAAGAGATATATTTCTAAGCCGCCGTTTTCGCCATATAGTTTGGTCATATCTTTTCTCACTCTTTTAGCTAAGAATGGTAAGATCCATCGATCTCTGGAAATCAACGTGCACAAGGTACATACCTACCGAGACAATTTTCCGTCGAAAAATAAGGATCTGAAAATAAAGTGGCAGAAATCCGAGGACCTTTTTGTGGGGGGGGGGGGGGGCAGTCACCAAGTTTCGGGGGCATCACAGTGAGGCTCGTCCCATCACTTGGCGAAACTCAGGATCCGTCACTGGTACGGTTTGCTACTTCAATGGCGTTGTAATTCAACATGTCAAGTACGTTTCACGTTGTGTGAGATCCCATGTTTTGACTCACTTCACCAGAACGCATGTACATACATGTGTTCGATGATTTGGGCTTCTGAGGTTGTGGGGGACGTTCTCTCGACGTCCCTTACGGAATATCGCCGCTCCTGTTCGTCGTAAACGACAATGCGTTGATCAAAACTAAAACACTCCACCGATACCTCGCCCCCAACTAAAAATCTCAAAAGTTAAGATGATAGATGAAGCAAGAAACTGTAACCATCACGAGTGTATTTCCCTTTTCAGATGGGAGAGGGCTTCAGGCCCTCCCCCCCCCCCCCCCCCCACCCCAACTGGAAACGGGAGAAACCCGTTTGTAAACAAATTGTTCTGTGCACGTTGCATAATTTGTCGTGCTTCATCCCCCCCATTCACCTTGGGAACTTCGCACTTGGAAGCTGTCAGGCATGCAGAAGTTTGGAGGACTAAGATGAGAAGCTCTGGAGTACGGTTCTAACCTACGCCATCAATGGCTAACCCCTTGCTGTCCCCCACAACTAAAAATACGTGTCACTGCACATTGTTATTACACTCATGTGCACACATGGCCCCTAAGTACGCACTACGAACATTTTCCTCGCGAACATTTGTTTTTGACTCGCTTGTCATGTATACCAGCTCACGATATAAAATCAGGTGCCATAGCACAAGAGAATTTCCTACCTGTAACGTATCACGTTATTTTGTATTCATTGCATGGATCCCGTCGTGCTTGAATGCTGGATGTGGGTATTCTGTAATTAGTCATCAATTTTCTTAGCGTATACGTCAGTATTGTCAAACCCGCGCCAATAGTGTCTTCATTATCGATAACGCTGCCAATATTTAGGCCGAGGAGCGCAGCGACAGGGCAAACAAACAGGGCAGGACTGTTGACCTCGGGGCGTTGACTCTCGGGAACTGATGACTCATAGCTTGTGACAGTGTATCTGAAATTGTGGCATTCGGGTCATCTTGTGGGGACGCTGCGCACGGACGGTGCTGTGTCTCGCGTGCCGCGTCAGCAAGGCATCTGCTTCCAGTGAAGACACAGCGAGCAGAGCAGCCCCTGTGCTGTTGATCGACCGAGGCCGATCATTCTGGTGGCCACTGTCCTGCTTTGCGCTTGCACTTGTCTTGTCGAGCTGATCTGTCAAGATGATGGCCCTTGTGAATAGGTTCCTGGAGTGGATAAAGAGCCTGTTCTGGAAAGAAGAAATGGAGCTCACATTGGTGGGACTGCAATATTCTGGAAAGACCACCTTTGTCAATGTTATTGCTGTGAGTATACATGTTTGTAATGGGTAGGTAAGGTTCAGATGCAGGTATTTTAGTGGAATATGCATGTATTGTGAGTGACATGTATTCTTTCAGCTTTAATATGTGCTAAGTTGGTGTCACTTAATTATATATTTCTGATGTTGGCTTATAAACAAACAAGAAATGTCCTCAGACTTAAGTAGGATCTTGAAGGAATGGCATTCTCAAACATAGTGCTTGGTAAGAGACTGTGAGTTTGCAGTGCACTCCCCTTATCCTTTCATTAACATTTGGTTGTCATCAGTGTTCTGTTTGGGCTGTAATCATATTGTAAAGTTCTGGCTTTGGCATGGGCATTATAGGAGGTGAGAATGTGAGGTGCTTGCATTTGGATGCTTTTTATATTTCTTTCTGGAGTGGATGTGGACAGCTCATCACTCTGGGCTGTTGCTCAACTTGATAGCAATGGTTACTGGGATGTTCCATTTAAGGGTAGTTTACCACTGATCAGTGCATAGAAAAATGTTGAAAGAGTGTAGTTGTTATTTTTATTTCTTCTCATCATTTTTCTGAATAAAAATGTCATGGAGTGTCAAATTAAGTATTGGAAGTGGTGAAATATGCAACAATATTGGGGTGACTGTTTGTGCTTCATTTCAAAATCATGCAGTATCAAGTAAGCTGGTGAAAATGGCCTGGAAGCAGGTATGTGGTCACACAAGTTACCTTTTGAGCTAGTGCATCCCACAAATCTTCCAAGTGATCTTGTGTTGGCACTTAGTACCTTGAAAGTCAGGATTGCCCTAAAAGTTTGCACCAAGCAATGTTGCAGGCTTGAAGTATGGTGAGCTACCTTGCATCATTCAGAACTCAAAATGGCATATAATTCCACAAAAAAACTTTAGTTAGGTGCTTGGGTGTACACATGGGAACATCTGAGTAAAGATCAGTTAGAAAATAGAGCAAAAGCTGTTGTTCAGCACAGGTTGATATTAAATGTCAGCAAAGCCATACTATGTGGCTTTATGCAGGGTTTGTAGCCACTTGGTACATGATGTACATATATACATAATATATATATATATATATATATATATATATATATATATATGTATCTATACACACACTATTGTGGGCCTAAATAAGACTTAAAGATTTTGTGATCTACTGTGCAAAAAGTGTTATCGATGTCAGAGCAATCCCCAATATCAGCCATCTAGCAGGATGAGTTAAAATTCAAAATGGATTATCCTGATGGCTGAATAGCCTCCTCGGTGATCTTGCTGAGTATTGGGTGTGATGTTAGAATGCACAAGAAGCCATGTGCACAGCTATATGTGGCTATACCCCTAATCTGACATCCCTCATCCATATTTTTTTGTGCATTACCTTATCAGTTTACAATTTCTTTGACACCACATGACACAGTCATTGTGTTTTAAGGATGAAACACATCTAAAGAAACAAATATGTATTGCTGGGGAGATCTGTCTGTTTTCCTACTTTTTACCCACTTAACAGCAAATCACCTTAATTTTCACATTGTGCCAGTAGATTATGCCAGCCAGCTTCAACACTTGTCAGCAGTTCACCTCACTTTTCATCTCTCAGATTTCATTGACAGGCACTTTACATAGCAGTTCTTTTCAGCTTGAAATGTCTGAAATGACTCAGTTCTCAAGTGTTCAGCTGCCTATGAGAGCAGATGCTGTAACCTGCCATTGATGGAACAATGAAAGTCATTTGTCCCATCTCACCATGCCGCCACCTTCCCGCCCGCAGTCTGGCCAGTTCAGCGAGGACATGATCCCGACAGTGGGCTTCAACATGCGCAAGGTGTCCAAGGGCAACGTCACCATCAAGCTGTGGGACATCGGCGGCCAGCCCCGCTTCCGCTCTATGTGGGAGCGCTACTGCCGCGGCGTCAACGCTATCGTGTGAGTTGCTCCGGCGCCCGGCCGACCTTGCCGGAGACAGCTTCCGCTTCGCCTGGAGATAGCTTCGGCCGTTCCCAGAGACAGCTCCGGCCGTGCTCGGAGACAGGCTCCGGCTGTGCTCAGAGACAGCTCCGGCCATGCATGTTCGGAGAGACAGCTCCGGCCATGCCCGGAGACAGCTCCTGCCGCGCTCGGAGAGGACAGCTCCGGCCGCGCTCGGAGAGACAGCTCCGGCTGTGCTCGGAGGCAGCTCCGCCATCGTTCGGAGACAGCTCCGGTCATGCTCAGAGACGGCTCCGGTCGTGCTCGGAGACAGCTCCGGCCGTGCTCGGAGACAGCTCCGGCCATGTTCGGAGAGACAGCTCGGGCCGCGCTCGGAGAGACAGTTCCGGCCGCGCTCGGAGAGACAGCTCCGGCCATGTTCGGAGCGACAGCTCCGGCCGTGCTCGAATACAGCTCCGGCCGTGCCCGGAGACATCTCTGACCGTACTCGGAGACAGCTCCGGCCGCGCTCGGAGAGACAGCCCCGGCCGTGCCCGGTGCAGCTCCGGTCAGCTGGTGGCCCGGGCAGCGGTGGTCGGACGCTCGGGAATGGGGCGTGTCTGGGTCGTGTTGGCGGGTCGATAGGTGGCAGGTGTGTTTGTCAGTGGTCGGGTAGATCGACGGCTTGCATGTGTGGTGTCGTGTTCCAGGAGCGAGTGATCAGTCCTCACTGTGAAGCATTGCTGTGGTCAGCAGCAGTGCCTCGTGAAAGGTTTCGATTACCCTGCCTGGTTGTGCTTCGGCCCTTATTAGGGATAACGTGACCTCTCAAATGCAGCGCTCATTGCGATCTACTCTTTAAGAATGTAAAAAACCTAAGATCAGTGAGTCGTTTTGTGTATTTGCTCAAAGCACGACCCACTAGTGAATGGTCATGTTCATGGTGAACTGTTGGACCTTAGCTACCTCCTGAGGGCGGGGCACAGTTGAACGCGAGGCGCGTGGACCTCGCTGACCGTCCCGCCGTGTTCGCGCAGGTACATGGTGGACGCGGCGGACCACGAGAAGCTGGAGGCGTCGCGGAACGAACTGCACAACCTGCTGGACAAGCCGCAGCTGGTCGGCATCCCGGTGCTGGTACTGGGCAACAAGCGAGACCTGCCCAACGCGCTGGACGAGAAGGGTCTCATCGAGCGCATGTGAGCCTCGGGGTCGGAGGGGAGCTGGGATACGCGGATCTCGGGGCCGATCATTAGTAGGTCTGAAGTTGACCCCGCGTCGCCCGGGCTGTGTAGGATGGCATGCGTGCGTTTTTAGGGGGGGGGGGGGGTGGTGTTGGCCGATGTGTCTCACTGAACCATTCCCATAATAAAGCTAAAATGTTTTCACGAATAATGGGCTTAGAGCTCCAAGCGGTAAAATGTGCTGTGTGTGGTTAGATTACATGACCACATCCACACAGTTTGACCTGCTTTGGAGGCAAGCGTTAGTGATTTAGGTTGTGGCGTTGAGTGCTTGTTCGTGTTACAATTATGACTTGGAGTTAAAATGATTGGATCCCCATGTGCCCATGTTTTTATAAGGATGTTATCTGAACCTCTTAAATGGATAGATTTGTCATCAGAGCTCATGCTAAGCAGTGCTTGCGGTGTAAGCCCTTACCCCAGCGATTAGATCGCGCACTCCCAGGTCAATGACAGAATTTGGTGGCGAAATTTTCACGTGCCATAATACTTGGCGCTGATTGCGGATTGTGCTCTGGATAGTCTGTCCTTTCCCCTGACCTCACATGACCTTAAGCGCGATCGTTGCCACTGGCCGCAGGCCATATCTGTCAAGGGCAAATAGCGAGCGCCTAAAACGACTCATACCCTTCCCACCACGGGTGGATGGGTTGGGAAGCAGGCGCACTAGCCAACGAGTCATCGGGGCGGATTACATATTTTTAATATATTTAGTCGGTGATATTCGCTATACGGCCCGGCAGCAAACTCCTAAGTTCATTGATGGGACTTTCCGTTGGCTGAAAAAGTGTTGAACCTGAACTCCTGGCTGAGAACTGACAACATGTAAATTCCTGGCTGTTTATCGTGTGCTCGTAATTCCATGTTTACCAGTATGCGTTGCCAGAGCATGCACACCTTTGTTCGTGTGGCCGTGCGGAAATGGGTGCGAAGTCCCGCGTGACCAGTGAGCGTGCTCTACAACGCCGCCCGGCATCGAGCGCTGCATGCGATCGCAGCGCTGACGCGTATCCCACTCCTTCAGGAACCTCTCCGCCATCCAGGACCGCGAGATCTGCTGCTACTCCATCTCCTGCAAGGAGAAGGACAACATCGACATCACGCTGCAGTGGCTGATTGCCAAGTCCAAGTCGGGCGGCCGCTAGTAGGCCGGCGGCGCGGCCGCGCCCCGGTCCCCCCCGCGCCGACGGTGGCGCCGCCGGCGGCCGGTGCGCACAACTCGCTGCGACCTGCGGCGAGAGCCGTTTGCTGGACTGCGCCGGGCCGTGGAGCTCGCTGGACGCAGGAGGGCGCTCGGCGGCCGTCCGCCGCCGCGCGCGGGTCGCGCCCACTGGCGGTGGCGCCCAGGGTCGGCCGCCGCCCGCCGCGAATCCCGACGCAACGCTAACGTACGCTTTACCCCGTTCAGCTGTTCTCCGGGTGTGTGGGTATATCAGTGCGTGAGGGCCGTGAGGTGGTGTGGCGTGGAGGTGCGTGCGGCCCGAAGCCGAGCCCGGGAGGCCAGGGGGCTTGCCGGGCCATTCCATGAGGCGCCGAGACGGGGCGCGCCGGGCGGGTCCGGCGGTGCCGACCGCGCTGCGGGCGGCGAGGCCGAGGGTAACGCTATGCAGGTCGGGACGCACCACTAACACGATTTTCTGTGCCGCTGGGACGAAAGCTCGCTGGCGTTTAGGTGTTGGACAACAACGTAGAGAGGGAACGCTGACCAGGGATTGGAGTGAGTCGCGCACAGTGGCTGTCTTTCATTGTAACTTTTGGGCTTTATTTTGTTTTGCTTCGGTAACAAAGGTGTACTTCTACATTGTGTTGCGTTGCAAGTAATTCAGTCCAAAGTTGGAATTCGATGTTCCGTGTATTTTATAGTCCCTGAAACAACGCCGTCCTCGGCAAAATGTTCGTGCAGGATTGAAGTCGGTGTTCCCTGTAAGAATGAAGGGATGTGCTCGCGATACACCGACGCGGTGATGTTTTTCTCACTACACAGTTCACGTGTCGTGAGCTGTGCGGTACCTCCTGTTCACTTTCGTGCCCCGCGGGCCACGGTAATCACGTAGCTTACCGCTATCAAAGGCTCGCGAGCTTTCGTCCCGATGTCTTTCTCTGCATGTACCATCGCCTCTTCGGTCTCCTCTCCTCGTCCCGCTGAAGTTCAGCCAAATGCGCGTTATTGTATTATAGCCCTGGGCTCAAGTTGTGCGTGTCCACCGCTTACCACAGATATTTATTGCTCGTACGTATCGTGTACCGCACAGCTGTGCGCCGCCGCTCTCGCCAGCAGGTTGGGGTCTGAGATCGGCGCCGTCAGACCACGCAGGCGGGCACGCGCCGCGTTCTTAGCGAGCCATACCCTCCGGGCGGTGGTCGCACTCACCGCGGGTGTGCGTCGGACGCGGCGAGGGCGTCACTCGCGCCGCCGACGCACAGGTCGCCCCGGTGGGGCGTCCGGTGGGGCGGGGTGGCATGTCTCCCGCGCCGCCGCCGGCTGGACATATTCGTATTTGTGTTACGTGCTCGCACGTCGCTGTGGTGCTCGCGATGGTATGTGTGTGTGTTTACTCCCCAGCCGCGGGAAATACATCAGTCATTCGATACAGTTGAGCCGTGTGCTTCTACAGGGGTTTCCGGGGCGTCACCGATCTAATGCAGGACACCACTGCCCAGACCGGTACAGCCTTGCAGCCATTCTTGGGTGCGCAGCGAAGCGCGGCTTCTCTCTCGAGTGCCGGAGGCATACCTGACCACTAACGCGCCAGCACCAAGCCTGGCTTCTCCAGCTTGTTCCCCGCTACTCCGGACTGAGCGTCTGCCTGAAGCCCAGCGAAGCAGCCGAGGCAGCTCTTGGGAACAGTCCTTTGATGCGAGCGCAGTAAGCGCAGACACCGCCCCCTGCTGTGGGTGTCAGTGCTGGACCTGCTTCCCACCGTGTAAACCCTTGATCATGCAAAAGCATACGTGGATCTAAAGCCAGCCGGCCGCAGTGCTTAAGCCAAGAACAAGGGTGCGATGTCTTTGTTCAAGCCTCGAATGGTAAATAGGATGATGATGATGATGATGATGATGATTGGGGTTTTAGGGCACGTCGACTTCTAGGGCCATTTTGCGCCCATAACAGCTAAGTGTTTACCGTGGTGTGTAAATGGCTGTGAATCCTACGTTTCTCAAAAATGAAAACATCTGTCCGGTGCCAAGCATGCGAGAATCGTCACCAATGGATGAATAGGAATAAGCACGTACTGATTGATGTGTTCATCATTTCATGCCATCGCATTATGAACCTGAACAAACTAGTGAGGGTTCAGCGGCCGTTGCCCTTCTGCCTTTGTTCTTAGACATTCGTACTTAGAAAAAAGTCCTGGCAAGTCTCCTGCAAGCCGTCGTCCGGGCACCGAGGTGTAGCTGGACTAATCACTCGCTCGATGGCCCAGTCGCTGGGCGCGTGCGCGGCGCCGCCTGTCGCACAGCACCTCCAAGGTCGACAGCTCCCACATCTGCGCCTGCGTTCTGCCCGTGTCTTGTATTGGGGCGATCTCGTAGCCGCTGGTAAGGCTGATGCGAGCATCACTGACGGACTCGTGTCGTCGGTCGTCGGTCCGTGGTGGCGGGACGCCATGCTGCTGCAGACGTCGGCGTCCACGCCACCGAGCCACGTCGAAGCTGACGTCGATGCTGTCTCTCCTCGCCGGCGGGCGATGTCACCACGTCTGATAGCCAGCTCGATGCGCCGTCACGCTCGCCGGTGCCGGCCGCGTTCTCTGGGTTTCGCGGCTCGGGGTCCGTGACGTGGAGCTGGTCCCCGCCCGCCAACCGCAGCCCGTGACGCGGGACTGGCCCCATCCCCGCTGCTTGGAGCCGTGGCGCGGGGCTGGCCCCCTCTCCGCCGCCTGGAGCCGTGACGCGGGGCCGGCCCCCTCCCCGCCGCCTGGAGCCGTGACACGGGGCCGGCCCCCTCCCCGCCGCCTGGAGCCCGTGACGAGGAGCTGGCCCCTCCCCGCCGCCTGGAGCCGTGACACGGGGCCGGCCCCCTCCCCGCCGCCTGGAGCCGTGACGAGGAGCTGGCCCCCTCCCCGCCGCCTGGAGGCCGTGACGCGGGGCTGGCCCCCTCCCCACCGCCTGGAGCCGTGACACGGGGCCGGCCCCCTCCCCGCCGCCTGGAGCCGTGACGAGGAGCTGGCCCCCTCCCCGCCGCCTGGAGCCGTGACGCGGGGCTGGCCCCCTCCCCGCCGCCTGGAGCCGTGACACGGGGCCGGCCCCCTCCCCGCCGCCTGGAGCCGTGACGAGGAGCTGGCCCCCTCCCCGCCGCCTGGAGCCGTGACACGGGGCCGGCCCCCTCCCCGCCAACCGGAGCCCGTGACGCGGGACTGGCCCCCTCCCCGCCGCCTGGAGCCGTGACGAGGAGCTGGCCCCCTCCCCGCCGCCTGGAGCCCGTGACGCGGGGCTGGCCTCCTCCCCACCGCCTGGAGCCCGTGACGAGGAGCTGGCCTCCCTTCGCCGGGGCTGGGGTCGCGGAGCTGGCCCCCTCCCTTCGCCGGGGCTGGGGTCGCGAAGCTGGCCCCCTCCCTTCGCCGGGGCTGGGGTCGCGGAGCTGGCCTCCCTTCGCCGGGGCTGGGGTCGCGAAGCTGGCCCCCTCCCTTCGCCGGGGCTGGGGTCGCGGAGCTGACCTCCTCCCCTCGCCGGGGCTGGGGTCGCGGGACAGCTCTGGGCAGGATAGGATCGGTGCCCCCTGATTCAGCTCCGACTGCGCCTGGTACGCTCCGAGACCCGCTCCGGAGACAGCAGACCGCCGTGTGCTGACCCCAGGCCACGTGGACGGAGGCAGTAGACCATCATGTGCTGACCCCAGGCCGCGTGGACGGAGACAGTAGACCGCTGTGTGCTGGCCCGGCCCGCATGGACGGGGACAGTAGACCATCATGTGCTGACCCCAGGCCGCGTGGGCGGAGACAGTAGACCGCTGTGTGCTGACCCGGCCCGCATGGACGGAGGCAGTAGACCATCATGTGCTGACCCCAGGCCGCGTGGGCGGAGACAGTAGACCGCTGTGTGCTGACCCGGCCCGCATGGACGGAGACAGTAGACCATCATGTGCTGACCCCAGGCCGCGTGGGCGGAGACAGTAGACCGCTGTGTGCTGACCCGGCCCGCATGGACGGGGACAGTAGACCATCATGTGCTGACCCCAGGCCGCGTGGGCGGAGACAGTAGACCGCCGTGTGCTGACCCCCGGCCCGCATGGACGGGGACAGTAGACCATCATGTGCCGACCCCCGGCCCGCGTGGGCGGAGACAGTAGACCATCATGTGCTGACCCCAGGCCGCGTGGGCGGAGACAGTAGACCGCCGTGTGCTGACCCGGTCCGCGTGGGCGGAGACAGTAGACCGCCGTGTGCTGACCCGGTCCGCGTGGGCGGAGACAGTAGACCATCATGTGCTGACCCGGTCCGCGTGGGCGGAGACAGTAGACCGCCGTGTGCTGACTTGGTCCGCGTGGATGCGACCAACAGCGGAGGGAATAACGCCGAGGGCCAGAAAGGATGCATGAAGACGCCCGCCTGGCTTTGATGTAAAGCGCTGATTCACGGGCGTGGGCACGGGCACATGATCCGCGTCCGCGGGGCATGGGGACTCCTGACTCGAGGTCGCGAGTTAAACCAACGGAACAGCTCGAGCCGTGTTTCAGTTCCACGGCCAGTGAGCTCCCCCTTGTTGAACCTAACGGGAGCAGCGAAAAGAACAGGCTACAAACCGTCAATTTATTGATATGTGGACAAGTCACATTTCAACGCCGCACAAGCACGGGGCCACAGCCATAGCCAGAGCGGCCTGCTGCCTGGGCCGAGTTTCGGGGCCTCAGTGGCGCCAGGCCCGATCGCCTGGCCCACCCTGATGCCGCCCGGCGCCCGTCACACCACGCCGCCGCCGTCACCGACGCCTCTGCCGGCCTCGCCAGGTACCCGGCTGGCGGTCGCCGAGCCTACCGCCCGCCGCACGCGCCGGCGGGGCCCAGCCGGCTGTTAAGCGTTGCGACGCACCGAGCGGGCGGCGCCGGCACAGCTCGCCGGGCTCACGTCACACACGGCACACGGGCGCGCGCAACGACCGGCGCATCATTGGCACAGATTATTTGTAACACCCCCCGCCCGAGCGAGCAGGGCAGAACACACCACGAGCCGTTCTCGCCAGGTGAAACAGCGCGTCTCTTCACGCAAACAACGCAAGCTAGAACACAACGGAAACACCAGAACACTGGTGATGTTAACACGACCGTCACGCTGGAATGTTGAGGGTAACTAGACAAACACAGCACTCAGCATCACGAAAACGGTGCTCCACCTCATTGCACGTGTGCGCGTGACTCACCGTGAAGAGCTCCCTGGGTGAAAAGCGGGTCGCCGGTTGCGACCACTGCCGCCGGCGTCGGCGGCATAATGACTTCCCAGTTACGCCATGACGCCACATCGGTGACCGCCACCACCTTCATCTCCGACTCCGGTCCATGTGAATACCACACCCGCACTTTCGCTACCGTCTGCCGCTCCACCTATGACGACCTACTGCGACCTACGCGTCCAGGAGCGCCCCCGATGAAACCATTTCGGAGAGGGACCGCGTCTACCACCGGCGTAGCGAGCGGTAGGACCACGCGCCACTCAAGCGCGCTTTGTAGGCCTTCGCCTCGTCTCCGGCTGGCCAGACGTCTGCCCAGACTCGGCCTGGACACCCATCTGCGCCGGCGTCGCAGGCTGCTTCCGACTAGACGGCGACCCTGATTCGGTCTGACCAAACGGCGTCCCTGACTTGGTCTGACCAGACACCTGCCCTGACCTGGTCTGACTTGCGAGTGGCGAAGTCTTGGTCTGACGAGACAATGACACTGGCTCCGTCCGACCGGACAGCGGCCCTGACTTGCTCTGACCAAACTGCGCTACTTGTGCGGGCCGCCGCCCTGACTCAGTATGATTAGACAGTGATGCACGAGCGGTGTGAGTCGCCGCCGGTGCACTGCGGGGGATCTCGGGCGTCCCGCTTCGAGGAGGCCGCCCCGAGGCCCGGGTCGGCGCTCGCGACCGGGGAGTTCGCGCCGCGTCTGGCGCGCCGCTGGGTGTCCACCTTCTCCCCACGGGCCGCGCGGTGGCGGCGGGCGCCTCCGCTGGCGCCGGCCGGGGCGGAGAGACAGGCTCCGTTCGGCGCGGTGCGGGCCGCTGCCGAGGTCGCCTCGCCGGCCGCCCGGCGCCGACTCGCAGCTGGGGAGCGGGCGCCGTCGGACGGGGCGGCGCCGGGCTGCGCCGCCGGGACCGACGCACCGGCCGCGGACGGGCCCACCGACCGCTTGGCCCGCGTCGCCGGCGTGGCCGCACCGGCCCGCGCCGTGGCGCGCCTCACTGGCGACGTCGCCAGTCTCCGCGTCGAGGCGGCGGGCGCGGTCAGCGCCGGCGTCCGGCCGCCAGACGGCGTGTCGGTCGGCAGCGCCGCCAGCGCCTGCTGTGAGAAGTTGGCGCCGGCGGGGATGACGGCGCGGTCAGGCGGCGGGCCGGGTACCAGCTGCGTTCGCACGCCGTACGGCTTCAGGTGGTACACCAGGTATTCGATGGTGTACATCAGGTTGGGCGGCACGTAGTGGAAGCTGATGGCCGAGTCGGAGCAGCACCCCATGCCCTGGAACGATACAGGTGGAGTTCAGAAGAGTGCTGTTACACGGACGCGTACAAGCTACTTCTTAACATGTTCTATACATGGTGTGCAGGAGAAACACGTGTGGATAGATCTGCTCGCTCGTTGATCTGTCTACACGCATATATGCGTGAAGTATTTTCAGATCGCGCGCCCCGCCACGGTGGCCCGCCGTCGGATGTGTATTGCCGGAACGTCCCACCAGGACGGACCTGCCAACTCCTCTGTGTTGACCACCAGGCCACTCAACCAGCGCAGCGTTTGCTCACCTGAACATCTGCTTACCTCACCATCTGTTCACCTCACTATCTGGTCACCTCAACATCTGATCACCTCACCATTTGCTCACCTCACTATCTGTTCATCTCAGCATCTGTTTACCTCACCACCTACCAACCTCATTATCTGCTCTCCTGACCACCTGCCCATCTCACCTTCTGCCCACTTCACCATCTGATCGCCTCACCATCTGCCCACGTCACCGTTTGCTCACCTCACTATCTGTTCATCTCAACATCTGTTTACCACATCATCTGCCCACCTCACCATCTGCTCACCTCACCATCCCACCACCAGGCGTCTGAACCCCGCGCCACTGTCCGGCCTGGTCACGCAAACCAGTCACGAGCCACGCAGGCTCCTAACGCAGAGGGCGCTAACATCGCGCACGGTAGTGAAACAAAGCCGAGCCTAATGCGTAAGCAGGCGGACGGAAACCTCCGCTACGTGGGCAGGGCGTTGGTGTCGGGATGTTCTCTGAGTCCGCTGGCGGCGGAGACACCGCTGACAGCGCCGCCTGCCTGCCGCTGATGACTGCTGGGCACCTGTCCCGAGCCCGGCCGACCAGAGGCCCTGCATGGTGGGCCGATCGGGTGGGTACCATGGCACAGGGGCCTCGCACCGTACACAAGCTATCGGGCAGCTCGAGCCGCGGGTGAACGGATGAGCATCCGTCGCGCTTCTCTGCGCGCTGTCGTCGGCTACCGGCTTCGGTCAAGCTCCCGAGCCGATCGGTGCCGTAAGGTACGCGTTTAGGAAACTGCCGCTCACTTCCGCAAGCCGTCGCGTCCGATTCAAAACACGCCGTCACAGAGTCTTGCGTAAGCTGTGAAGTGCATTTGCGAGGAACACATGGGATAAGACCGTCCTAATAGCCTTATTCCTCATATAATAGCCAGGAGCATGGAAAGATAGCTGGAAAAGCCGAAATATCAATGCATGGATCGTTCCACTCTCCTGGTCATGATACGTAGAATTCTATCTAAGGCTATCAGTACTGTGTTATTACAGAATCTTGGTCGTAGACGGATTTCATTCTGTGCCAGTCCCGTCCTATACGAATTGCACATTCGCTGACAGCGTCCAACCAGACTTTGATGGAAAAACCTTGCACAGGGACTGCGTGCGCCTAATTATAGCGTCATAAAGCGCCGATAACACGAAGTGGGCATAATTAGTGGCCATAAAGCTGTTTAGCACTCTCCCGCGTCCCCAAACCGCAATAAGTGGACCCTATCCACAGCAAGTAGACGGTCAAAACAAATTTAGCTCAACACGCAGACCAGCGGCACAGGCACAACGCCAGTGAGTCGTTTGGAGCGAGCGACAAGCGAGGTGATAATAGACGTGCTCTTGCCCCTCCTCCCCCCCCCCCCCCCCCCGCTCCTTCGTCTGCCACGCCACCGAATGCAGTCGGTTGGCTCTTGGGAGCCAATACGAATGGGATTTGTCAATACACTGGAAAGATACTTTTTCATGAACTCAGCCGACATATGTGCACACTGCGCCAAACGTCGCACAGTTTAGTAGCGTTCCGCGACGTTTAACTGGTTTGTTTAGCGTTCGGTCGTGACCAATAAACCGGTGTTTAGCGTTTGTGTACAGATTCACAATTAACACAAATTTGCGCGGATTCACGGACTGTAAAACGGCATTGCTGGTCAAGGTAAGGTGACGTAGCCATTGGCAGGTTTTGAGTCTACCAAGACCTGACAAATTTAAACGACGAGGTCATTAAACTTGGACAGTTTACGCTTCAAGTGACTTTGACGAATTTATTGGGAAACGTTTATGTTTCAGACGGCTAATGTTGACACTAACCGACCTACAAGCCTGTTTACGACCCAATGGAATTCGGTCCATGTCACAAGGTGTTGTTTCTGTGGCCAGCTCCCGAAGAGGCAGCATTGACCGCGCCGTCACTGGTAGCATTGGTAGTTTGTGAGGTAGCATTGACCGCGCCGGTCTGCCATTGCGCGCTTGGCGATCGTCAGCGTTGAGACCACTCAGTAATTTGTTGACGGCGCCATTGGCCTCAGCCGTACAACCTGTTTCATGTCTCTAGCTGCCCTGATAGTTTGTATTCGATATTAGTCGTTAAAAACGCCCTAACATGGATGGATCCATGACCCGCGCACGTTGCCGAAAGAACGTTATCCTATTACTTCGGTTGATAGGTATTGTAACGGACGTAAGGTCCCTTCAATACAAACAGCGTCATCTCCGTGCAGGCCCCACAGTGCGCAACTCACACTAACAACTGACGCTTCACATGTTAAGAGATGTATCAACAGATGACAGCTCAAATGTCACGACGTCCGTAACAGGACATACCGCACGCGCTTCAATTCACAATCAGACGTGACGCCTCTGCAAACGGGGACGACGCCCAGACCCAACAGGCAGGATACGTGGCATAACTTCACCCCCCCCCCCCTTCGCTCTTCCGCTGCACCCGCTCACCTTCTTCTGTGGGTAGTAGATGTACTTCCAGTACCAAAAGCTCTTGGGGAACTTCTCGGCCACCAGGTGGCTCTCGGGCGTGAAGGGGAAGAAGCGGTAGCGGCCCTCGTTGTCTCGGCTGTCGGCGGCCGTCACGTTCAGACGCTCCATACACTTGCCTGCCGGGCCGCACGACCGTGACGTCACGACAAAAAGGTCATCAAAAGGTCAAAAAGGAAAGGTCACAACAGAACGCGCCAGTCAAGGGGCGATAACGGTTTATGATCTATCGCTTGAATGATACATCGGTCTTCACCTTGGCGCCTTTTTAAGCCTATTTCAAGTGCATGACATCAACAGCCGGCGGGCCGTGTTGAAATCAGCGTTTATCCCTGGCGACAGGTTGGATTACATTTCTCGCACACGATCATTTCATTTCATTTCACTGCCGCCGTGAAAACGAAAACACTTGAAGCCGACGGCGCATGCAGGTACCTGTGCTGAAGAGCTCTTTCAGCGTTAGTTCAAAATGCTTGGCAACATATGGCGTGAAACAAGTGTCTTTATACAGGCGAGTCAAGGTAAGCCCGTCGAATAGGAAAACAAGTTGAAATACACGTGAGAGGGGATGAGGTGATGACGGTCGTTGGATACAAAGCAGCCCGTCTTCGTTGAGCCAGCACCCCCGCGCCCCACAGATTTTGCTCTCAATAGCGGAGGAACGCATCTCCCAAGATAAAAAAGAACAGCGACTTTTAGAAGTTCTCTCACACAACACGCAATGTTGTCTTCTTCAACACGCAATTCAACAAGTACCAATACGACTTTTGCAGCAGTCAAAAGGCGACAAAGCTGGGGGCTGAACGCCTTGCTTTTGCAAAAGTACGGAGTAGCCATCAGCCGGCGCCCCTCCCTCTGCCCACAGCAGTCCGTTCTCCAGCTCACCCATTTCCACGTCCTCGGCACCGCCGTGCTCTTTCTTGCACTTGGTCGGGTCATTCAGGCCAATCGTGACGAAGCGCCGCAGCGCCTCCCGGCTCAGCACGTACCCTGCGGTCACGGGGTGCCGTCACGGGCAGCGGTCACGGGGTGCCGTCACGGGCGGCGGTCACGGGGTGTCGTCACGGGCGGCGGTCACGGGGTGCCGTCACCGGCGGCGGTCACGAGGAGGAGGGAAGTCACGGGGAGCGGTCGCAGGGATGGTTACGGGGACCCGTCACGGGGTGGTTACGGGGACCCGTCACGGGGTGGTTATGGGGACCCGTCACGGGGTGGTTATGGGGACCGGTCACAGGGTGGTTACGGGGACCCGTCACGGGGTGGTTATGGGGACCCGTCACGGGGTGGTTATGGGGACCCGTCACGGGGTGGTTATGGGGACCGGTCACGGGGTGGTTATGGGGACCCGTCACGGGGTGGTTATGGGGACCCGTCACGGGGTGGTTACGGGGACCCGTCATGGGGTGGTTATGGGGACCCGTCACGAGGTGGTTATGGGGATCCGTCACGGGGTGGTTATGGGGACCCGTCACGGGGTGGTTATGGGGACCCGTCACGAGGTGGTTATGGGGACCCGTCACGGGGTGGTTATGGGGACCGGTCACGGGGTGGTTATGGGGACCCGTCATGGGGTGGTTATGGGGACCCGTCACGAGGTGGTTATGGGGATCCGTCACGGGGTGGTTATGGGGACCCGTCACGGGGTGTTACGGGGACCCGTCATGGGGTGGTTATGGGGACCCGTCACGAGGTGGTTGTGGGGATCCGTCACGGGGTGGTTATGGGGACCCGTCACGGGGTGGTTGGGGACCCGTCACGAGGTGGTTATGAGGATCCGTCACGGGGTGGTTATGGGGACGGTTACGGGGGGCGGTCGCGGGGCGTTATGGAGGCCGGTTGCGAGGAGGAGGGAAGTCACGGGGAGCGGTCGCGGGATGGTTACGGGGACCGGTCACGGGGTGGTTACGGGGAGCGGTGACAGTGTCACGGGGTGGTTACGGGGAGCGGTGACAGTGTCACGGGGTGGTTACGGGGAGCGGTGACAGTGTCACGGGGTGGTTACGGGGAGCGCTCACGGGGTGGTCACGGCCGGTCGAGCGGCCGCGGGTGTGGTTTCGAGAAGCGTTCAAGGCGGGCGGCCACGGAGAGCGGTCACGGAGATTGTTACGGGGAGCAGTCACGGGAGGCGGTCACCGGGCGACGACCACAGGGGCAGTCACAGGAAGCAATTGCAATAGATAGCGCCCACGAGGAGTGTCAAATCGAGACAGCGTCGATAGCAGGGTTTGGTGACATGGACGGTCATAAAGAACGGCTGCAAAGACAAATCGCGCAGAGCAGTCATAGGAAGCGGTCAGGGGTGAGAGAGGGGGGGGGGGGGCGGGGCAGAGGCGGCCACACGGAGCGGCTGCGGGCGGCGAGATGAGCGGGCCGCTATCGTCGGACTGGAGCGGTGCCGACGCTGCAGCCCACCGTCACGGAACGCGGCCGCGCTGAGGGGCGTGACGCGGACTGACGTGCCACCCCACCGACGGCCGGGGTCGCGCAGCGTCGGACTGGAGCGGCGCCGACGCTGCAGCCAACCGTCACGGAACACGGCCGAGCTGCGGAGCGTAACGCGGGCTGACGTACCCCCGCCGACGGCCTGAGCCGCGCAGCGTCGCTCTGGCCCGGCCTGTCGATAAGCCAACGGCGTGCGGCTGCTGCGGGCGGACCGGACCGCCTCCCGCGTCAACAGAGCGGCGGACCTGACCTTGGCCGGCGCGCGGCGCGGCGCGGCGCGGCCACCACCGCTCGCCGCTCGATGCGCGGCGCGGCGCGGCCACCCCCGCTCGTCGCTCGACGCGCGGCGTGGCGCGGCCACCCCCGCTCGCCGCTCGACGCGTGGCGCGGCGCGGCCACCACAGCTCGCCGCTCGACGCGCGGCGTGGCGCGGCCACCACCGCTCGCCGCTCGACGCGCGGCCCGGCGCGGCCACCACAGCTCGCCGCTCGACGCGCTGCCCGGCGCGGCCACCACAGCTCGCCGCTCGACGCGCTGCCCGGCGCGGCCACCACCGTTCGCCGCTCGACGCGCAGCCCGGCGCGGCCACCACAGCTCGCCGTTCGACGCGCGACCCGGCGCACGCTTGCGAAATGTGCGGAAGGCCGGTGACATTGTTCTCAGCGATGCTCAAGTTCTGACTGGATTAAGCTGAACTTTATCAGCACCGAAAATCTATGGTACAGCCCAGCGGGCAGCCCACTTCCCGTCTCTTCGCAGTGCGGTCCCCTGAGAACGAGCCTCATAGGTTGGCCACCTGAGACTATCGGAAACTGAAATCCTCTCAGCTCTGGTGTGAAAGCCTTCCCAACTCGGCTACACCAACTTCCAATAACAGTTACCGAGCCCTCGGACTTAATCGATTTACCTTAGAAGAACCGGATGATCACCGCACGAACCTGATCCCTGTTTCCCACGCAAGCGATGAAGGGGACCACAATCATAAGGCAATAAATCAGAAGTTTCCCAAGCCATGCTGTCTTGTTTAGTCCGTATACTTGAACTTGCAGGTGGTATACTCTAAGTATTTTGTTCGTTTTCAACGAACCTTGCGACCGGTACGTCGATCCTCAACTGTCGGATCGGACAGTACATTCAAAGCATGCAGGAACGGGTGTCCACAGCTACCGGCGGCGGAGGCCCGCTGCAGGATAACCAGCTGATAGCGTGCAGGAAAGCACAGAGCAGCACGCGGCCCGGCGGCGGTTAAAGGAGGGACGGCACGCGTCACGTCTCCGTTACATCCTGTCAAGGCACATCACATCACCCGTCACATCCGCGCCAGGCGTGCAGACAGCCGATAAACTGGCGAAAACGGAGGTTCGTCGTCGGGCGGTGTGCGACCGCCGCCGCTCCGGGACGTTATTCGACATCGGCGGAGGGACATCGGACATGAGCGCGTGCGACATCGCGCATCGGACTTCGGATGTCGGACGTGGGACATCAGGTCTGGAACGCCGAAGACAAACATCGGATACCGAGTCCGGGCATCAAACCCCTCCCGTCGGATTTCGGACATGAAGAAGCGCACACTGGACAACAGACATCGGACATAAGGATCGCCGGCCGCCGGGGGGGGGGGGGGGGGGGGGGGAGGAGGAGGGGGAGACCAACCTGCACCGCCGCTCATGTATCCCTGTTTGGTGAACGGCTTAAACTTGCACCCGAAGTACAGCGCGTCGTTGGGCGAGTACGGCTCCAGCATGAAGCGCATGTTCTCCATGATGGCGTACCTGCCAACACCAGGTCACGTGCGCATTGGCAAAGTACCTACTTGAGTTGCTACCTATGACGTCGCAAGTACCTACGCCATGTATAAGCGACCAACCTCCAAGCCGCAGGAGCTGTTGCGACGCACTTACCTCTGACATTATAGGTTGCAGCTTGTGGACGGCTGTTGGTAATGGGGAACGCCCCCCAGGGCACGCGCGCATTACTGACGGGTCGGCGTGACTTGAGAACAGGGTCTTGACTGTTCAAGGGCAGTGGCGGTCGGGGACCGTGGAAGGTTAACGAAAGAACGCGCGAGGAAAGGCTTCATCTTCACGCGTAGAAATAGCGTGTGGTTTCTGCATGCTCCGCTTCTGGTATGTCCACCTGCTCGGAATGACCAGTCTCTTTAGGCCCGAGGTCTACCGCAGACGAATTCTAGCGTAACAGGGAGCACCCAGCAGTGGTATGACCAGCTGGGGCAATAACGACCAGGCCAGCGCAGCCGACCAGACAATGCACCAGGGGAGGGGAGCCTCCTCGATCCCACCACGCGGAGGCCCGCGGCGCGTCGGGCGCCGCGCGGATCACCCGCGGAGACGGGCAGCTGGGAGCGGGTGGACGGGAGACCGCGGGTGGACCGCGCTCCACCCGACGCCCTAGTCCGGGCCGCAGGTCAGAGCTGCGGCACACCCACGCCACCTGCACCGCAGCCAGCCCACCTTCAGCGATAAATCATCCCGTCCAGACGGATCCGCCTAGATGCTGCTGAACGCGACTTTGCAAGTTCCGAAGCGTGTAATCTTTGAATGATGCCCCATAGGAGACGCAACAGAATTCGGAACCGTAAGCTGCAGTTGATTGACAACATTTGGGCACTCGTGTTCCCCCTGGTATCCTTATGTTTAAAGAAGGTATGTGCTGAGCAAGAATTCGCCAAAGCAATTCTTGAATCTAAAAATGGATAAAACTTCGGGAATATGCCAGCCAACTAATGTCTAAGTCTCTCAGTGCCTGAACCGAGGTACAGTTATTGACAACTACTTACAGCTTCGGAAGCTCAAAGGGCTTGGGCGAGGAAATATGCATAGAGTCAAGGTACCTACGAACGACGGTATGGACAATTTGCAATGATGAACCAATGGTTTGGAAATACATTCCGGCATTCACGTTCACCAAGAAAGAACTGACAAGTAGTGCTAAAGAAGGGCGACCATGTGACGCGAAGCTTAAATGACCCTGGAATGCGGCTTAAAAAAAACTCGTGCAAGATAGTACAATAGGTAGCAGTTGATGTATTTGATCAGGACTTGTGAAAAAGCATTGCATTGGGATTTAGGTAGGATCAGATAGGTGATCCATGATAGTACCGCCATCAATCTCTGAGAGACGACTATAAAGACAGTCGCGTGCACCGAACGTGCACCTTTCACACTTAGAGAGTCGAACGGGCGCAATTGGAAAAGTCGTGCGACAATCTCTTTGTCCCCCAAAATCTTGTCTCTGGGTAATGGTGTCTCGAGGACCCCAGTCCAACATGTGGCACGCGCGCAAGGCCACACCTTGGCAATGAGCACCTTAATCTTGTGTGTAGGCAGCATCGGAGTTAAAAGATATTCGTAACACTTGGGGCACGCAGCCAGAAACCCCATAGTAGAGAGCCGCAACTCGAGGGACGTGACGCGGCAGTATGTGCGAGCCTCCCGTGCACCGTAGGTTAAAACCATCGGGTCACACAACAGCTGTTCATTGACTGACATGCTATAACGCGACCTTGCCTACCAATCCTACCATCTTGCCTGTTGCAGGTTAGCGATATTGGCAGAGAGGTGCTAAATAGGACGGATAATCCCGGGCCATGTATCCCGGGAGTGTATTAATTCCGGATCCCGGAATCAAAAAGCTCTCGCGATTCCGGGATCCCTATTGTGTTTTCCCATACAAAACAGTGTTTAAAAAGTGTCGCTGGTAATATATGGAACGCGGAAAAGAAGGAAACCATGTTTGGTGCGTATAAATGGAAAAGATACGCGGTTTTATACAAAAAAATGATTGCATCTTGTGAATTCTTGTAAAAGCCAGCCGCGTTCTGCGAGTATGAACTAAGCTCGGCATCGTTTCACACGGTGTCACGACTCCGAGCTCGAGCTCGTCTCTCGCGCGCCCTCTCGTCACGCACGCAGCGCAACGGGTCACCGTACCTGAGGGCATGCGATGCCGACCTTCGCATCGGAGCAGGCCGGGGTCGCGTTTGTGAGCGAGCGTGTCCTGAGGAGCCGTTACTACTAGTGCCTCGTGGCTGATGACCCATGAGGCTGGCCAGGAGTCCTGAGACATCCTCGGTGACTGATGTGCTTTGTTTGGGAAGCCAACGCACCTAAATATACCCGAGTTTATGGAATTGAAAGGAATCGCAGTGTCGAAATTTTCTAAGAAGTCACGATGACAGCACAGGGAAAGCGCTGGAGCAGTCAAAAAGGTATTGGAAATATCCGGAGATTGCACGAAAAGACTCTACGCCCCTCCACAAGAGTAAGCATGGTCGTGTGAGTGTTGCTGGACCATCCGCTCCCGGGAGACACCTAAGGAAGAGTCCAGATACCTCTCCGCTCCCAACACCTCAGGAAGAGTCCAGTGAAGGTCAGGTTGAGAGTTCCACGCCTACGGCACAGCCTCTGAAAGGGATTAGTACCCTGAATTGGTGCTACCTGTCTAAAACGGACCGCGACCTGGATGCCATCCTAGCCAGAATGAGTGCGAGAGATGGCATGAAACTCCTAAATTCTCGCCATATGTGTAATGGAACAGATTGAGCTTATCAAAATCCGGGATCCGGGTACTGCGAATTAGTTCCGGGATTATCGGCACCGATGCCAAGTTTGGCGTCGCCTCACGTACAAGGTGCAGCCCCTTATCGGCGCGATCCAATCGAAGCCGATCACTCAGCCACACATCTGGCACCACTCCCATCGCCACATCATCATCTGGCACCACCCCCATCGCCACATCATCCGAACCCCTGCAATTTGGGTCACATGAAAACTGGGTGCAAGCGCTGAGCACGCACGGCGCGCCGGCAACGTGGCATCGAGCGCCCAGAGCTGAGAACTATTGTTCGATAGCCCTGATGTCAGTCTGACCTCCCACCGAAGTTCAGTCGGCTCGCTCGCCGCCTGCGGCGCTTATAGAACCCCGAGTGCAGCTGTCAAATGTCGTTCACGTTGTTGACCGCACACGGCTGCCGACTACCAGAGTGCGCACCCGGTAATGGAGCTGCACCCGGCATGCTGCCACCCGGCCTGAGGTCACCGGCACACCCTCCGTTTGACCTGAGCCCCCGATACGCGGGTTCTGCGGAGGTCCGACTGACGGCACACGGCACGTGCCACGCGCCACTGATCTGTTCGAGCCGGGCACCAGAGCCCGTCTACGGAGCGGGAGCACCACCAGATGGCGCCACTCGAGTCGCGTCCCGTCGGCACGCTCAGACGCTCGGAAGCTCAGATGCAGTGAAGCTGCGCGTCTGGGAAGCCAGAGTTACGGAGCTTAATTCCTGACGGTGCCCGCCCTTGCTGCCAGGATCAAAGGCAGGAGATGCCATGTTATCTCCGCCACTGAGTGCGTCGTTAAATCCCAGTGATAACAACGACAAGCTTAGATACACATGCGGACAAGTAGACAAATATGGTACTTCGAACCTTTTCTAGCGACCGCCACCAGCTTAGGTTTTGGCATATCCAATGATTCCTGAATAGCGTCTTACTTTTCAAGGCATTGGTTTACCCGTACGTGAAAGCTTACGGACGCGTGACGGCCGGTCCAGGCCGTTCAGGTCGAAACCTCCTCATAGTTGAGGTCACACTTGTTTGGCCAGTGGAATCATTCACGATGCTTTACAAAGAACCATTCGACATAGCAATAATGTGGACAGACAGGGGAGGTGCGTGGCTAGTCCGCGGTGTCTTGTCCGCGTTCGGCACCGCACCCAGGCCAGGCCATCAAGTGCCTCCCAGTCGGGATCGTGGTCCGCCCACCGCCGGCTTCCAGTCGCCATCTCTGCGCCCAACTCCCGGCTGCCTTTCGCGTGGTGCTCCGAAACCGACACCACTACCGGCTGTCTCTCCCCCACCCCCATCCCAGCTCTGCTCGGCCTCCCCGCGGCAGCGCCGCCAGCGACCGTGAGCCACGCCTCGCCAGCTGCTGGCAGCGCTGGCCGGCCAGCTCAGCTCAGTACAGCACGGGCTGTGCCAACACTAGCTCACCGCCAGCGACCGTGAGCCGCACCTCGCCAGCTAGTGACAGCGTTCGCCAGGCAGCTCAGCACAGCACGGGCCGTGTCAACACCAGCTCGCCGCCACACCGCCGGCCGTGCGGAGTGATCGAGGCGGTCAATAGCGCGACCGACCGACCGACCGGCCAACCGACCGACCGACCGGCGCCGCCGTGGAGGAGGCGCCACCGACCGTCGGCGGCGTCGGCGTCGGCGGCCGCCCGACGCGACGCGCCCCGCTGACGGGCCGCGACGAGCCCGGCGACGAGGGACGGGCCGGCCGCCCCGCCGCCACGTGCGCGCGTGCTGAGCTAGCGGAGACGGCCGGTCGTTTAAGGGCGCGGCGGCGACGCCGATCAATAGCGGGCGCCGCCCCGACCAGCGAGAACGGCCGGACAGCAGGGCCACCGAACGGCCGGCCGAACGGACGGAACACCACCGGAGGGCGGCCGGCCGAACGGACGGAACACCGCCGGGGGACGGCCAGCCGAACGGACAGAACACCGCCGGAGGACGGCCGGCCGAACGGACGGAACACCGCCGGGGGACGGCCGGCCAAATGGACGGAGCACCGCCACCGAACGGCCGGCCGAACGGACGGACGGAACACCGCCGAGGGACGGATGACCGAAGGAGCGGACGCTGACAACGGCCAACAACAGCGACGGCGGCGACCACGGACGCCGCCGAGCGAACGACAGGTGGAACGGAAGACCGCCGGAGCACGACCAGGTGGCCGAACGGACGGCCGACGGAGCGGACGACAGCACGGGCCACTGCCGGGAGGACCGCCGCAAACAGACCACAAACAGACCGCCGTCGAGCGTCCCCTGTGACGCGCCCCGAGCCCGGCGAGACGCGCTCGGGGACAGCTGACGCGCGACGCGGCTTAGATCAATGCCAGCCCTGATCGAGCAGACGCACCCCAGCGTGAGCGGCCTTCCCAGACAGCGCTGTCGCCCGACTGCGTAGCCGATGGGATGCCGGTCGTCAGCTCGCCCGTCTGTCAGTGGGCCGTCGTTGGGTGGAACGCGAGAGGACGCTGCCACGGCTGAATGGCTCGCCGTCGCATCGGAGCTCGCTGGGCCGAAGCCGACGGCCCTCAGCCTTATCGACGATGTGTTTCAGCTATGCGCGGAAACTGACTCACCCATAATTGACACACATTCAGTCGACATATTACGATCGAAGGGCTCGCAACGGCTCACCGTGCAGGAACGTGGAAGAGGGCGGACCAGCGAACATCAATCCTGCCAGCCCACACGAAAACAAATGGTGCATAAAAGATAGTCCGTTCGCAGCGGACGGCTCATAAATGGGAATGAACCAGCTGGGCGCTACATCGCGTAACGTGATGTGTTTTGCGACGAAGCGACCGAAGTGCTTCCAAATCCGACGGATTATGAGCCACCACACCTGCCGTCGAAACTGTCAGCAGGTGTCCGAGGACGTAACTGCTGTCACGTGTCAGAGGAAAATAACCTCCAGGCGGAATTCATTTCTTCTATTGAATAATTATATTATATATTCCATACTTTTGCAAGGGTTTTCCACAGCAGGTGGTGCAAAATACGCATGATCTAAAATATCCTGGACATGTGCTCTACTAATTAGCCGACCTGTCTTAGCGGATCTTGGTAGCTACAAACAGTTACCTAGCCCGTTTTTTAGCTGATAAGAAATTGTAGGTTAAGATATTGAAAACACTGGCGGCCTCCAGTTTGGGCAAGTTCAACACATAAGTTGTTTAGTGCATCTGCGAGGTACATCGTTCACATAGATAAAGACATTAGCAATAGCCTTATTCCTCGGGGAGAAAAAATATGAAAATAATACATATGGTATACATGTACATCTCTATATTTCCACTATCCTGGTTTTTCTCTGAGGAATAAGGCCATTACTACAGTCTTATTTGAGCCCAACACATTTTGAAACGTCGCCTCTCGCGCACCTTCGTGTCACGCACCAGCCTGCCCGTGTCCATCTTCATGAGCTTAATTACCGGCAAGATTTGGGCGATGTTGCAGTTGAAATGTATTTATACAGAGCTGTGTGATGCATAGCAATTAGCTCTAACCGAATGTTTCGTCCGAGTACCTAGGGGGAGCAGCCGGTTGGGATTAGACACATGTTCGTCCATGTTCCCGACATGTAAAGGTCGTCATTTTTCACTAGCAGGTGGCAAAGTAAGTCATGAAATAGGATTTTAGGAACAACAAGGAGCAGCGTATTTCTTTCCGACAGCGTATTTCTGGATTTCAAGATGTCAACCCGCCCTCGCCATCTAACCAAGTCGACCATGCCTGCAGAACTGGCTGTTAAACCTACAGACATTGCGCAAAACGTGTCGCGGATTCAAAGTACAGGCAAGCAGAGCAAAACCGGCAATCAAGTACAAACAACTAAGAGAGAGAAAAGAAGGGGGACGAAAGAAAATCAGGCAGGAGGGATCCACGGACCAGAAGACGTTGATCTATCGGACCACAACACAAATGAGTCTATAAATGCGGCCCGCAAACCCGTGCGATCGCATTTATGCAACCATCAGCTATCTCTGACCAAGTGCCACTGCTGATGTACGTCACATATTAGTGTGTCATCTACCTGTAAGGCTGTATAAAATAAAGAAGCCACCGACATTGGAGCCAGAGCCGGCACAGTCAGTTCCGGCCGCGATGCCTCATGCTCATGTGCCATGTCATCCGATCGGCGATTTATACTGGCTTCTGATAGTTGCCTCATAACATTGTTTGGGCGTGGTTGCACCCGCCGCACATGCATGAGAATATGTTATATTGCCTTCCGTAACCTTAGAATTAGCCTGCTCGCCGCACTGAGTGAATACGCCGTTGGAACATCGACGGGGAAATATCAATGACGTCATCAAACAAAGCCGTGACACTGGCACCTGATATCTGCAAAACAATGCTAATGAAAAGACACAGTGGTTGGCCTTGCGTGCGCCCAAAGTAATTTTACAAGGCCACCCTATTCTGGCCAACACGCTACCGGCCGGGTCTGGCCACAGTCGGCAGTGCACTGCCCAAACGGAAAAAGGCCATGTCGTCCGATCGGCGATTTATATTCGCCTCTGGCAGCACTTCCACCACGACATTGTTTGAACATGTTCGCCGGTATCGTGCCTTTACTCTGATCGGCCAACGGAGGGCGACTCCCTGAACGAGATTCCTTCCCCTCCTCACCGTCGGTCACGGTGACGTCACGTCACGTGACATCGCACACTCACGTGTCGTCGTCGGCCTTGTAGAACCAGTCGGCCTCGTCCCGGTGGTGTTCGTACACATAGCGGAACGCCTCCTTGGTCTTGGCCCAGAGGAAGTTGCGCCCCTCCTGCACGTTCAGCGCCACCGTCGGCAGTGTCGTGTCTGGGGGCAGGCGACCTCAGGTCAACACACGAGCCAGTGGGTAGGTCAGGGCGTAGGTCAGGTCACAGACCGGGTAAGGTCAGGGCGCAGTTCAAGGCATAGATCAGGATGAAGGTCACAGCACAGATAATGACACAGGCTAAGTTATGCAAGGCCGCAGGTAAGGGCGCAGTTTGTTTTATAGGTCTGACCAAGAGCGGCTCGCAGGTCAGACCAAATGTCAAGCCCCAAGTCAGATCCAATTCCATGTCAAAGGTCAGGTCAAATGCTATGCCACGGGTCAGATCATCGCTGAGGTTCCATCAGGTCGCAGGTCACGTCGTAGGCCAGCCAAATGATGATCACCCGAGAGGTCACGTCAGCTCACATGTCATCGCATGCCAACAAACGTCATCTGATGAAACAAATCTCTGATCACAATCCAATCCAATGCAAATAAGCCAGAGGTTACAGCAGAGCGCCAGCCACTAGGCCACATGTCAGGTGACAGAACACGCGTCGTTCCGCAGACAGCAGCTCATTCCGGAGTGAAACACCCCTGACCGCTGCCCGCCTCTTTCGCCCGTTCACCACGTGACAAGGCCGCCTCCGTGTTATGGCTGACCGGTGTGGTACGCCATGCTGCGGCTGATTTCTATTTTATGCGCGGCGATAGCGCAACGTGACCTATCGCGTGACACCGACACGGCGCCCGGCCGAGCCACAACACCGCCCGGTCAGCAGGCTGGCGCGTCGGCGGTGGGCTGCGGCGGGCGCGGCGCGGGCCGGCGCCCGGCAAACACCGCAGACCGGGGCTGGGGACAGCGCCTACGGCGGCCCAAATCGGTGGTCGGATCATTTGCGCCGCCGTTCACAGCTGTGGCGAAACGCATGCCGCTGTCATCGACACAGATAATCCCGCAGTGGGCGGGTGCGAAGCAGGCGCGTCACCCGTGAATCACGTCCACTACACAGGTGTTTGTGAGTTCGCCTGCGCTTGCGTGTAGTTCCCTGCGGCAGCCAGCGCACCGCCTGGGTCCCTTCTCACCCGGCCGCTCCGCCCTTGCGCCGCACCACGGCTCCCCCGCCAGCGAGATGGCGAAGCGGGGCAGATGAGTGTCGGCTGCCGGCCCAGTCGATACGCCGTTGCCATGGCGACGTGGCTCGCCGGCCACCGCCCAGGTAACCGCTGACCGCCACCGCCCGGGGCGGGTCAGCGGGTCACCAACAGCGGCACCGTCGCCACCGCCTCCCGCGGGGGAGCGCCACCGGAGGGCCGATAACGACCCGATCCGTGTCACGTGCCGGCGTCGGGGGTCACGTGACTGGCGCCGGCTGGGGCTAATGGGGGAGATTGGCCAGCATTGGGTGGCCCGGCGGGGCGCGCCCGCGCGGCTCGCGCGCCAGGGGGATCAGGAGCGGAGGCGACACTGGATCTGGCCAGAGCGCACAGGCGCGGCGAGGGCACGACGACAGGACCAGGGCGTCAGTCATACTAGGTCCACACAGGCGCGGCGAGGGCACGACGACAGGACCAGGGCGTCGGTCGTACTAGGTCCACACAGGCGCGGCGAGGGCACGACGACAGGACCAGGGCTTCAGTCATACTAGGTCCTTGAAAGAGAGAAGCGCGGGACGAGGAAACAGGCGGATGACGTTGAGACAGATGTACAGGCCGGGAGGAAACAGCACGTGATCGAAAATTGGAACGTAGAGGTAAGAAGATGACGTGGGAGGGAGGGAGGGAGAGAGAGGAAGAGAGAGAGAGAAAGAGAGAGAGAGAAAGAGAGAGAGAGAAAGAGAGAGAGAGAAAGAGAGAGAGAGAGAGAGAAAGAGAGAGAGAGAGAGAAAGAGAGCGAGCTAGAAGGGCGAGAAGAGCGAGAAGGGCGAGCTAGGCAGGAGAAAATACTGCGCCAGGCCGTGCTGTGTTAAACGCAACACACACCTTGTCAAGAGCCTCACCGGTTTTGGAGCTCATGAAGATCAGTTTGTTGCAGCGATGCCCCCAGGTGGCCTTGACGTGTCTGGCCTTCTTTTCGTGGTTGGCCGGTTGGGTCATAACCCAGCAGAGCACGCGCACCCGTTTCGACAGCTCCAGAGCTTCCCTGTCACCACCTGTGCAACAGAGAAGTCTTTCCAGGACGTTACACGAACCGCCAGTGAAGGGAAATGATCATAAATAAAAAGGAAGGCGCATCTGATACCTTGGATGAAGCGATCCTTTCTTTCATGTTTGTGTTTGCAGGCGTGCGCAGGAAATAAATAAAATATCTCGCGTTACACAGCCTGGCACTAATCAGGCCTAACCATTGTATTTATCCATCATACGACCTTAATCCAGAATCCTCATGACGCGCTCGACAGCGCGACAACGGGATTCGACGAACTGCATCATTTCCCATCACAGGACCGCCCTCGGCAGTTGACAGCGGTCGTCAAAATTGACCAAACTGCACAAGGGGCCGTCCGTTCGGCGCACCGGCCGCGCCGCGCGCCGCTCCTCGCCGCAGGCTAACACGGGCGCGGCACGCAATCCCTCCCCTTACTCGTAACCGGGTCGGCCCGGCCGTCCCGTTCGGCCGCGATAGCCCCCAATTACACTTGGCCAAGACGGCGATCGGGTCCCGCCCTTATCGCGTAACCGGCGGCCGCGGCCGGGGCGGGGTCGAGGTGTCCCCGGCGGGCGGCCGGGGCGGGGTCGGGGCGTCCCCGCCGGGCGGCCGGGGCGGGGCCGGGGTGTCCCTACCGGGTAGCCGCGGCGGGGCCGAGACGTCCCCACCGGGCGGCCGGGGCGGGCTCGAGGCGCCCCGCCGGACGGCCGGGGCGGGCTCGAGGTGTCCCCACTGGGCGGCCGGGGCGGGGTCGGGGTGTCCTCACCGGGCAGCCGCGGCGGGGCCGAGACGTCCCCGCCGGGCGGCCGGGGCGGGCTCGAGGTGTCCCCACCGGGCGGCCGGGGCGGGCTCGAGGCGTCCCCGCCGGGCGGCCGGGGCGGGCTCGAGGCGTCCCCGCCGGGCGGCCGGGGCGGGCTCGAGGTGCCCCACCGGGCGGCCGAGGCGGGCTCGGGGCGTCCTCGCGGGGCGACCGGGACAGCTTCGAAGCCCATGAGCGCTAATATGACCTCTGCAGTCGCTGCCGCTCTATAGAGTGGTGCCCGACGGCGAGCGCTGCGTTCCTTTTGTGAAAAATAACGGTGGCAATAAAAGGCTCTAAAGCGGCTTACAATGCCTTCACACTTAACCGAGTGTCCAAATCTGGACACAGCTCAAAGCTGTTAAAACCACAAAGCCTGGCAATGCAGCCAGATTCCTGTTCAAAAAGGTCGCCCACAGGGCCATTCTGCCGCACGAGCCCGCCGGCCTGCACAGCAAACATGTTCCATGACACAGTTCTCAGCACAGACGTCGCCGCCCCAGGCCACATCAATAGCCCCATTCGTCAACAAGCCTTTTCAGCACGCCTCACTGGCTCGGCTGCCAAACTTCTAATTGTCCACCGCGCGCCGTGTCGGCTTCGTTTGAGCCCCCTCTGCCCGACCTATTCAGCCGCGGCACGGCGTGAAGTGCAGCGGCAACAGGGGGAGGCGCGGCACGGCGCGTGTCGCGGGAGCTACGACGCCAGGTCAGGCGACCCACACCGGCGGCGGGTCCGGACCGGGGCCGGGGACGGGGGAGGGGCAGGTCCGAACTGGGGCCGGGGCCGGGGCCGGGGGCCGGGGCCGGAGCCGGGCCGGGGCCGGGGGCCGGGGCCGTGGGCCGGGGCCGGGGCCGGGGCCGGGGCCGGAGCCGGGCCGGGGCCGGGGCCGGGGCCGGGGCCGGGGATGGGGCCGGGGCCGGGCCGGGGCCGGGGCCGGGGCCTGGGCCGGGGCCGGGGCCAGGGCTGGGGCCGGGGCCGGGGCCGGGGCCGGGCCGGGCCGGGGCCGGGGCCGGGGCCGGGGCCGGGGCCGGGGCCGGGGCCGGGGCCGGGGCCGGGGCCGGGGCCGGGGCCGGGGCCGGGGACGGGGCGCGCGGCTCCGCGGCGGCTCCGTGTCGTGTCACGCGCGGACGGCGGTCCAACACCGGGCGGCGCCTCGGCAACGAGGCCGCTTTCCTGGAGCCGACCACCGCCAAGACAGTCAGCGCTAATGGAGGCGGCGTGTTTTGAAGTGGCGTGTGGCTAAGCCTGGGCGGCATTCGAGCAGGGGCACCGCACGAGGTGGCTGCTAGAAGTACGCACGCGGCTGGCAAATAGGCGATCTGGGACCTGGCCTAGGACGCACACTGCCCGGCCTATTCCGGGACATTCAGGGCACGTGACATGTTTCGCGGCGCGGTCTGCAATTCACCAGCGTGGCTGTCCTGCAGTTGCAATGCGACGAACTACGAGCATGCGGCGACATAAGTGCAGACAAACAGGTCTGACTGTACACACAGACCAGCACCGGCGGGCGGGTCAGCCTTTCAGACGGTAACGCCGACAGGTGGGCGGACAGCACCGACTGAGGCGGGCCCAGTGGCTTTGGGCGGGCCGTCGGAGAACGACCCGACAGCCGTTACGGGAGCGGTCAAACCAGACAGAACGGTCCGGCCAGCCGGCTGAATAATACCCCCAGCGTCACCGAGCCAACGCCGACAAGCTAACAGCACGGCATGCAAGCCGACCGTCATACCGACAGAACAATGAACAACAAACAACGAACAATGAACAACGAACGACGAACAACGAACAACTGACTAACAGCGCCACAGAAGACCCCCCCCCCCCCCACCAAGCGCCATCAAACCCAGCCTGACCAAGGTCAGGTCAGGTCAGGTCAGGTTGAGTCGGGTCGAGTCGGGTCGGCTCGGCTCGGTTCGGCTCGGCTCGGTTCGGCTCGGCTCGGCTCGGCTCGGCTCGGCTCGGCTCGGCTCGGCTCGGCTCGGCTCGGCTCGGCTCGGCTCGGCTCGGCTCGGCTCGGCTCGGCTCGGCTCGGCTCGGCCCGAATCGGATCGGGCCCGGTCGGCCCGTTCCCTGCGTACTCACCGAGGTGCGCCGGCTCGTCGGGCCGGTGGCCCTGCAGCACGCCGTCCAGCTGGTGCCGATTGGTGGGCTGGGACAGGCCATGCGGGCTCGACTGCAGCACCGTGTCCAGCATGGCTCTGAAACAGCGGCGGCGCGCTCACCCCGGAGACGGGCGGCCGGCGCCCCACGCTCCAGAGTTTCAACGGGTGGTCATGGTCTCAGGCTGTCCAACGAGGCATGTGACCGTTCTGTCAGTGTCGTTGGCGTCGCAACAGTGCACGCCGGCTGCTGCGATCATCAGTCACTTAGCCAGCAAGGCGCGGGGGTCTGTTCGCGGACTCCCAAGCGGCGTGCGGAATCGCACCCCGTGAACGCGGCATGCGCGTCACGTGGTCTGTGAAGTCCGCACAGGTGAATGAAAGTCCAACGCCAAATGAAAAAGCTTTGCCGGGAGCTTGCGTGCCACGAGCGTCGTTTGTCAGCTGCTAAATCGAGCCCGCCAGTGGCACCGAACAAATTTCGCCGCGCTGATCATACCGTAAGTGCATGCGGCTACGCCTGTAGGCTATGACACGCAAGTGCATGCCGGCTATGACGCGTGAGTGCCACACCATTTAGGGCGGCCCCTCGCCGACTATTACGAAGCGAGTGCACCCGGCCCGCGCACTTTATGAGTTAGCGCGCCTCTGACGCAGCTACCTTGACCGAGGCACCCGTATTGACCGTGGCACGAGCCACTCCATTTCCGTCACCGGCAGCGAGGTCGGCCTGGCCGGCCACAAATAGCATGGGGATGAATGACTGCCAGGCTGGCCGCACATTCACACTGTCGACGGGTCCCGGACATGGCGTCGCGGTCAGCTATAGCGCACCGCACCATCGCGGGGTCACACGTGCACACCCTGATACCCCGAGCCGGTGGGAGGCGACCAGGCGGGGCACGAAAGCAGAGAACGGTGCGGGACGCCACCCACGCGGGACTGGACCAGACACCCGAGCGGACAGAGCCTCACGAGTGGCGCACGCGGCCCGTCCCCTGACACCGGCACAGCGCCGCCACGCTAGGCAGGCATTGCATGGAATTCCTGCCGAGGCCGCCTCCGTGGCCGGCAGCGACAGAGGACAGGCGCCGGCCGGCGGCTGCAGCTGAGCTGGGCTGGACTGGACTGGATTGGACCGGACCTGAGGCGCGGCCGGCGGCGACGCCACCTCCCACACCGGCGCTCACCGGAGCGCCGATGTGGTGTCGACGGCTCGGCAGCCCGCGGCGCCGGCCGCCGCCAGTGCCATCGACCCGCGCGGGAGCAGCGGCCGAGCGGACGGCCGACCTCGGGCTCGGGCTCGGTCTCGGTCTCGGTCTCGGTCTCGGGCTCGGGCTCGGTCTCGGTCTCGGTCTCGGTCTCGGGCTCGGGCTCGGGCTCGGGCTCGGGCTTGGGCTCGGGCTCGGGCTCGGTCTCGGTCTCGGTCTCGGTCTCGGTCTCGGTCTCGGGCTCGGCTCGGGTTCGGGCTCGGGCTTGGGCTTGGGCTCGGGCTCGGTCTCGGTCTCGGGCTCGGGCTCGGGCTCGGTCTCGGTCTCGGTCTCGGGCTCGGTCTCGGTCTCGGGCTCGGGCTCGGGCTCGGGCTCGGTCTCGGTCTCGGTCTCGGTCTCGGTCTCGGTCTCGGACTCGGGCTCGGGCTCGGGCTCGGGCTCGGGCTTGAGCTCGGGCTCGGGCTCGGGCTCGGGCTTGGGCTCCGGCAAGATTCGGTCCCGTCCCCGAGACGCAGCCTCCTCTGTGTGGACTGCCACCGGCGAGGGCCGCAGAGGCAGACATATCCGTCAGTGCTGGATCACTCAGAACTTACCCAGGACACTGCTTGTCGTGGTAAAGTATGGTTTGCCAGTACTCGGGAAATCACGTGGGTTACATTAACAAAAGGAATTAGATCACCTTTAACTATGAACCCCTGCTGAAACTCATATTGTCAAATAGTCACCGTATTATTCAACTGAAAGCTTCACGGTCTCTCACATGGCTTGCGGCGCACAAGGAAGACCAGATTTAAGCTCACGATGGCACGTCCATGCAGCACGCGACCACTGTCCGAGCCTGCCCGAAGCGTCGATAGCGCACTTAGTGTCCACTAAGGAGGCCTGAAGGTCACCGATGGCCCACGAAAGGTCCCCCTTCTCGACGTCCCATTACCGCGCCTCCGCTCGATGGCGCGCGGACCTGAGGCGGCCGGCGCGCCGCCGCCGCCGCCGCCGCCGCCTGCGACGCCCGCCAGCCCGCCGGATAGGCGTGCGGCGGCGCAGCATGCTCCCGCCCAGGCGTGGCCGGCCTCACGGGCCACGGCTAAGGAGGCGAGGCGGGGGGAGGGGGGGGGGGGGACGGAGAGTCTGCGGAGGGCAGGGCGTCTGCCGAGGGGATGAAGAACCTCGAGAGGGAACACAGGGTCCGCGGAGGGTCTGCAGATGACTCAAAGAGTCCGCTGACTCAACAGAAAGCCTCGGAGAGGGGACGAAGCATCGAGCGGGAGCTGGGAAGGATCCGCAAACGGTGCAAACTGTGCTCTGTAGACCTAGGTCTCTGCCGTTCCACTGCTCTCCTAGGGAGCAGGGAACAGTGGGTAAGTAGCTATGCTCCCTCCAGGGAGCCGTGGGTAGGCAATGGGAGCAATGGAGGGTACCAGGGAGAGCGGGATCTGGGAAGGAAATGGATTCTGCACAGAAAGCCAGACTTGATGCCGGAAAGGAGGGTCTATAGCGGAAATATAACGGGAACGGAACGTGTGAGGGGAACAAAGGGCTTCCAGGGTGACCTATGTGTCTGGGAGGATGTCTGCAGACAGAAAGAAGGGTCGGAAGGGAGAGCGGGGACGAGGAGGGTGGTCCCAGATCAGGAGGCCCTGTTTTCGGATAATGGGGTTCTTTTGCTGGATTGGGAGGTCCCATAACACACAAAGAACCTCCCGACCGCTCCACTTTTGGTATGATCAGCAGCCCTGACAGATCGTTTCAGCGATGCGCTGTGATGCAAAGGTTCCCTCTCCCTTCCTCCGCATGCCCTATCAGTTGGGCGCAGGCGACCACGCCACACAAAATTGAATTGTAACCGTTTGGGGTTCGGATCCTAGAATGATGCCCGCCAGACTGGCATAAGCTGCTTGAATTTTCATGGGAACTTGAGTTTGATTAGCATAATTTCTTCTGTATCCAAGGCACAGCCGCGCCGTGTTTTTTCTTGATGATATATTTAGCATCGCGTTATGCCCGTTACGCAGTGCGGATGTAAGCCGGCGTACTTACGGGCTCCTCCCTCTGTAAGAGACGTGTCTGGTGTGGACCAGGTGGGTTAAGCGCCCAGTACCTTTACTCATAGGTAACTAACGTCCGGCTACTCAGCGACTATTTACAACCTAAAGCACTTCAAAAAAGCAACCCTGCTGTTTCTCAAAATGCAAGCGTGTTTAATAAACGAAAAGGATTATTAAATAGGGTAAAGATTCAACCGTTGGTGGCATTTGTATCAAGTCAGTCCTTGAGAAATCTTCCCATTATTCTTCGGGATCCGAAAACTGTGTCTTCCTTCGCTACCCTGGACTTCAAAGTAACTCTGAGAGGGACAAGCTTGATTTTCTCCAAGTTGGTGATGCACGGTAAATATAGTTTTCCAGATTAGGAGAAGGTTGCTGTGGGCCCACTCGCCCTCTCCCTGTCTTAACCAAGGATACCCATTGACAGGTTTTGCTCGGGAAGACACCCGTGAGGAGGCCCCATTTTGTCTTAGAGGTCTACTGGAAAATTTCCCCTGGCTCAAAATCCTTGGCCCCGCCCCTGGGGGCTTCTATAAGATGAGTCACATAATCGCTAATTTTGGGTTATTAACCCGCCGTCGGCCACGTGTTATGAGCAACTGTTCGACACCATAACAGAGCTAAACGAACGGCAGCTGTTGCTGCTTCCTGTGCTAAGGCTATACACTATGCAGTAGCCAATCATTCTGGCCACTCACCTTATGTCGTATGAATGGAAAATTACATGAGGAAAACGACCAAAAAAAAACTGCGCAACTTCCAAGGCGCCCAACACTGGCGCACAAACATCATTCTAGCGCTCCCGGCGCCCTTATGGCCGGCATGGGCCCTTCTAGTAATAACAGTCTTGGATTAAAAAGTGGCCTGCGTGTCAACGTTGAAATATTAATGTGCACCAGTGCCAAAAACATTGGTAGTTTCCAATGGTATCTACTGCACAGGCAGACTCGAACCAGTCTCCAGAAGGAGCGCGTGTTACGTTACGTAAGTCTCCACTCTCCGAGCATATGTTGTCTCTCGCAGTCATAAGACAACAGAACTTCAAGCCATAAACCTGGATTAGTTTAATGGCACCCCAATCACAAGAGGGACAACACGACGTGCACGAAGCTCGGCAGCTCGTGCCTGGAGCACGCTTCCCCCACCCCCTCCCCTACTTGGCTGCAGTACTGGCAGCTCCTTAATCCAAGGGCAGAACGAGGGGGTTCCACATCGGCGTTGCAGCATACCGACAACAGTGCTATGGCATTAATTCTGCTGCCCATACTTATGCGTAATATTTGAGCCACGCGACAAAACTTATGCTTCAAAATTCATAGCAGTCATTATTTTACTGCAAACAGTTATAGTCATTTCTTATATGACATTACTTCTGCTGCAAAGACTGGTACGCAGCATTGGTGCTATGTAACAAAGATTATGCATCAACAATTTTCCGACATAACTCATGCTGCAAAACGTATGCAATTATTACTAATCTACGACATTTCTTCTGCTGCAATGACTTCTGCGCGACATTAGTGTCACACGACAAAAGTGTGCTTCAAAAACTTATGCCCGCCATAACTTCCACTGCAGCACTTACCCAGTCTATATGTCAACGCGACATTACTTCTACCGCCAAAACTTAGCTGTGGAGTGCAAAAGACGCGGGCACCTAGCGGGGATGTGGGAACAACATGGAAGTCTGGAGGAAACCTTAAATGAGCGATACTGCAAATATGTTCGGGGACACGGCGGAGAAGTTTGCCGGTTTGGAGCTGGGCCACACCGCCATTAAAATTTCGAGATGCGGGTAAAACAAATCGGCTATTCATTAGGTTGCATTTTTGTCCATTTACTGTGCATGGCGCATGAGCAAAGGCTGTTGTTTTGGTAGAATATTCTCAATGACGGCATAGTTTTTTTGAAAAGTTTTATCATTTAGCGCTAAAGCCGAGTGCAGAAGAGGGAATGTCCCAGTTTGATGAACACCAGACCAGGGATGTACTTAATTTTCAGCCGAAGCCTCCATCCACTCATCTGTGATCGCATCATTTGGGGCAGACCAGACGTTTATCTCTTTTTTAGGAGTTTGGCCATTTTGCCACGCTTACCTCCCGACTTTGCTTTGCAACACTACGACTTTGCACAATACGTTTTTCAGTAACGGCAACGTCGCGTAGCACCGCTGCCGTGGGACTCCGACGATCGGAATGTTTGAGCCGCGGTAATATATCGATACCATGGAGTGGACAACACTGGTCTGATTCACCCCGTCCAGGTGCTACCATACGTTTGCCCCCTCCGTTCAGTAGTGATGCTTAACCTGAGTATGCGTACTGACGGGTATAATTTCTGGAGTGTGGCCTGTGTCGCATGGCGCAGATGCCACATATCGTTAGGGGCATTGGAGGTAATACCGCTCAAATTAAAGACTTAAAACGTTTTTGCAGTGGACATAATGATGGGTACCATCTTTTTAAGCATAAGCTTTTCAGGCAAAAGTTCTTGGCATGAATGTCACATACAGCTCTTTGCACCAGAACCCATTCATAATAACTCTCTAAAACTCACCTATAACTCACCTTTAATTCTTTGTCATAGAAGTAACGTAATATCCCATTTAGGTAGACCGCATAAGTTTTTGCTGTAGTAGCCACGCCATGTAGAGCTTTTTGCAGAACAAGTTTTGTCGGGTAAGCACTCGTGTCGTGTCTAAGTATTTGCAACGGAAGCAGTGTCAAGAATAAGTAAAGTCTGTTTAGCTTCTGTAGCAGTAACGATGCCGCATACAAGCCATGACATAGAACTCCTGACTGTAGGAGTCGTTGTCGTAGTATTAATGTCGTGACGACGAACAAAGACCATCAGGCCAGGGCATGGCTGTGACACTCGCCGGCCGCGCCCCATACCACAACTGAGGCCCACTCGAGTCTCCAGCTGCTCCGATGTTCGGGGACAGGGTGGCAGGCACGTGGGCGTTTTCAGCCTCAGCAGGCCTTTTGGTCGATGCTAGACGCGACACGGCCGGTCGACCACGCATACCTGAGTCCGCCACTCTGCGCTAAGCCACGGTTCGATGCCGGCCCCAATTGCAATGCCGTCACCGTCGGCTGACATATGGACTATACCCAGCATGGAGGACTCGGCATGCTCAAGGTCCGCTTGTTTATTTAAGGTAACGGCAAACGCGTGGTGCTTCATTCCAACATTACCGGGACGTACCCCCCCCCCCCCCCGCCCATTCCCTGGCACGTCCTCGTGGACGGCTGATTAGGTGGACAGATAGCGCGGGTCAGCGGCCGGTCGGACGGCTGGTTAGGTGGACAGAAACCAAGAGTCAGTGGCCGGTCGGACGGCTGGTTAGGTGAACAGATACCAAGAGTCAGTGGCCGGTCGGACGGCTGGTTAGGTGAACAGATACCAAGAGTCAGTGGCCGGTCGGACGGCTTGTTGGGTGGACAGATACCAAGAGTCAGTGGCCGGTCGGACGGTTGGTTAGGTGAACAGATACCAAGAGTCAGTGGCCGGTCGGACGGCTGGTTAGGTGGACAGATACCAAGGGTCAGTGGCCGTTCGGACGGCTCGTTAGGTGGACAGACACCAAAAGTCAGTGGCCGGTCGGACGGCTGGTTAGGTGGACAGATACCAAGGGTCAGTGGCCGTTCGGACGGCTCGTTAGGTGGACAGATACCAAGAGTCAGTGGCCATTCCGACGGCTCGATAGGTGGACAGATACCAAGAGTCAGTGGCCGTTCGGTCGGCTGGTTAGGTGGACAGATACCAAGAGTCAGTGGCCGGTCGGACGGCTGGTTGGGTGGACAGACACCGCGTCTCAGTGGCCGGTCGGATGGCTGGTTAGGTGGACAGATACCAAGGGTCAGTGGCCGGTCGGACAGCTGGCTATTAGGTGGACAGATACCATGTCTCAGCGGCCGGTCGGCACAGCTGGTGCGTCAGTACAGTCAAGGGTACGGCACAGCTGACGTCTGCCCAGAGCTTGCGCCCATGAACCGGGTAGAGTCCGGGACCAGCTGTATTAAACCGGGGCAGAGGCAGGGGCCAGCGGCATTAAACCGGGGCAGAGGCAGGGGCCAGCGGCATTAAACCGGGGCAGAGGCAGGGGCTAGCGGTACCACCCACCGACTTTGCCAGACTTGGCAGTGAGCCGCCTGACTATGGGAGAATAGCTGGAATCGACCTTACGTTCTTAAACGCCCGGAATGGATTTCAAATGCGCTCTCAAACAACCTTGCGTGTGTTCACAGGCCGATGTTTAAGGGTCTGTTCACCATTCAAGCAAACAGAACACACCGAATCAAAGTCGTGCTACCAGACGACTCGCAATTTAAGCCCGCGGCACATTGAAAAGCCAGGGGGTCACCTGCTGCCGAACACGCAACGGACATCATTATCATGTCCGTGGACGCCCAGCGTGTCATGTGAACACGTGATGTCGACCGAGACCGATTGAAGCTGTCAGTGGTGCGCTCAGTGGGCCGTCACTCACGTGTCCAGCAGGCGGGAGTAGTAGCTCTCCTGCGGTCCATACTGAGCCAGGCTGAGGACCATGTAGGCGAAGCTGAAGCCGAAGGTGATGCCCACGCAGAGAGTCAGCACCAGCGTCTTGTTGACCAGCCACACTGCAAACACGGGGCGCGTGTCAGCACGTGTCACGTGCGGAGCGGGCCGACACGTGCCCGGACGTCTGTCGCCACGGGGACCGGCGCCACATCTCCGTGTGAAACCACGTCTGCTTCTGGCCTTTGAGCTCCGCCCACGACGACACTCCTTGGTGCAGATCTCCTCGATTTTTGTCGCTCGTGCGGCGCGACGGGAACGTGGGAGATAACGTGCTGTAAGGTGTTAAAACGTTTTTGATATTTGATTTTGACGTATTCAGCGTTGCCACACAAAGCTCGCCTGTGCTAGGAAGGCGACCCGAAAAGGTCATGAGCAAACTCTTCTTAAGAATTTGAAGAGCAAGGCGCAACCCACCTCCGCCAACACGCTCATGCTATTTGATGTTCTGCCTATTGCAAGAAGCCATCGTTGCTATGCACACCAGCAGGGACATGCCATTAACATAGCCCCTGATGACACTGAAAACCCGTCTCTACCAGGGACAACCCAGTGGCATGTGGGGGCCGAATCATTCCTTCCCTTTCGACATCAACCACATCCAACGGGAACGATTTTCAAGGCAGTGCTGCCTTAAATTCAGCGCACCCACAGCAATTGACTGCAGCGCACTTCACTGCAGTGCACGCGAGCTGCATTGTTAACGACGGCCAAGCGCTATCGGACCGGACAATTAAACGGGACATTGATCGCCGGCGCAGCTCACTCCCGGCACAGCTCAACAGGCTGACAGCCAGCCACAGGTGCCTGCGTTGGCTGCCAGACCGCCGGGTCCGCCTGACGGGCTTCCGATCGGATGTGACGTCACCACGAGTGCGAGCCGATCGGACGAGACGTCACCACGAGTGCGAGCCGATCGGATGTGACGTCACCACGAGTGCGTGCCGCGCGAGCCACCCGCTCGGACCCATACCAGACCGACCCGGACCTGTACCAGTTCGAGACAGACAGAGGGCGCTCGTGAATGCTCCGCCGCTGGCCGCAGCTGATCGGCACCGACTGTCGCTCGCACCTGACGGATGCGGCTGTCGGTGGGGGTTCAAGACCATTGGCTGCACGGTGTGTCTGGGAAGCCAGAGGCACGGGGTTCGATTCCCCGCGGTGTACACCCCTCCTGCCAGGATGAGACACATGCGCGACACACGCTCAGCAATCGGACGTGTCATCGAGGTTCATATAACTATAGTTCAGTGCCGACGACGGTTGCCCAGGTGTTGGTCCGCGCTGGACGTAGGCCTAGTTGTAGGCCTGAAAAGGACATGCGACGACTGATCAACTCAAAATAATGCAACGGTGCCGTCTTGCGTCGAGTGGCGCCGAGGATAGATTCTGAGCACAGGCATTGTCAGGTTGCACTGGGTGCAGGGGTGTAGTTTCCTTTTCAGTTGGGGAGAAGGTGGGCTACATTTTGGGAAAACCCGATCGTTGGTTTTTTGGGGAAGTTAGCAAGCTTTTTAACTGCCACCTCCGCCCAACCAGCTCATTTTTCAAAACCAGGCCCCCGCCTGGTCGTAGCACGCGGCGCTGAACGGCACAAAATCGCACTGGCTGGTGGCCGAGCAGCACTGGGCGGCCCGGCGCGGGTCTGCGTGTCACCGAGCGGCTATGGGCGGCACCGGCGGCGGCCAGCTCCGCCCGGGCCGTTTCGGCTTACGGGGCCCGGTGCGCTGTGACCGGGCGGCTCACGGAGCCCGACAGGCTCGCTGTAACCCGAGCCCCGCATGTCGCCCCGCCCCCTTCCCCTCTCACGGCCGACGGCGAGCAGCGCGGCGGGATTGGCGAGTACGGCCAGGGAACTCCGTGCTGCACGTCGAGTCGCGCGGCGATCTGTCTATTTATGTCTATATATATATATATATATATATATATATATATATATATATATATATATATATATATGTATACTTGGTATTTATTACACTGTCACCGTGCGTGGCATCGGCAAACATCTGTGGTTCACTCGTCTTTAGTTGTTATCATAAGAGATCCAAGGTCGCCGTCGCTTGCCAACGAGGTTGAGGCTTTCAACACTCCAGCAGCCACGAGCACTCCCCATCCGTCATTACCTGGATGATATTATGACAACGGCGGCAATAAAAATGTAATTAGAGCACACTGGACGCGATCCAAGACAACCCGGCATCCCGTGACGCAGACAGTCGATGACCTAAAGCCTCCCTTCTCTGTGGTCAGGAATTGGAGCAGCGCCCGCGTGACGACCGAGCCAGACGCAGCACCAGCCCGTCACCGAGCGTCGGCCCCTGCTCACCTGTACCGACGCCTAGCTTTCCCGCCGTCATGTCCTGCCGCAGACGGCCCAGGCCATCGCGAACATCGCTCAGACGCGCGTCCGCACCGCCGAGGGCGCGGTGCATACTGAGCGGCCCGTGACCTTGACCGCGGGTCAGTTGCGCGGTGGTGTCACCGGCGGCGCTACGCGTCCAAGGCGCTACCGTAGCGTCCGAGCCAAGCGTCACCGCCATCACGGTAGTGTGTCGCGAGCCACACGCCACCGGCGTCACGGTAGTGTCCGAGCTACACGTCACCGGTGTCACGGTAGCGTCCGAGCCACACGTCACCGGCGCCACGGTAGTGTCCGGGCTACACGCCACTGGTGCCGCAGTAGTGTCCGAGCTACACGCCACCGGTGCCGCAGGTAGTGTCCGAGCTACACGCCACCGGCGCTACGGTAGTGTGCCGCGAGCTACACGCCACTGGTGCCACGGTAGTATCCGAGCTGCACGCCACTGGCGCCAGGGCAGTGTCGCGAGCTACACGCCGCCGGTGTCACAGTAGTGTCTGAGCTACACGCCACCGGCGCCACGGTAGTGTGCCGCGAGCTACACGCCGCCGGTGTCACAGTAGTGTCTGAGCTACACGCCACCGGTGCCACGGTAGTGTCCGAGCTACACGCCACCGGCGCCACGGTAGTGTCCGAGCCACACGCCACCGGCGCCGCGGTAGTGTCGCGAGCTACACGCCACCTGTGCCACAGCAGTGTCGCGAGCCACACGCCACCGGCGCCACGGTAGTGTCCGAGCTACACGTCACCGGTGCCACGGTAGTGTCCGAGCCACACGCCACCGGCGCCCTGCAGTGAGCAGTGTGCGAGGGCGCCGCTCACCCGTCTACGGCCAATCAGCACACAGAAGCCACCTGTTTCGCGCGTGGGTTCGCGCACATGTGAGTTTTTATCTGCGCGCAGGAGAGTGCTCTGTGATGTCTTTCAAATCACGATAAAATCGGATCAAAACGGAGCTGAGGGGGACTGAGAGGAGCTGACAGGACCTATCAGGAACCAAGAAAACCGACAGGTACCAAGAGAAGCTGACAGAAGCTAAGATGAGCTAAAAGGAGCCGAGAGGAGCTTGAGGAGCTGACGGGAGCCTAAATCAGCTGAGCGCGAACGAAATTTAGAATGGCTCAGATGAGCTGAGCGGAGCTGAGCGAAACCAAACGGAGCCCAGTGGAGCCCGGCTGAGTTGAGTGAAACTGGGGGAAGCGAGAGAAGTGTGGGGAGGGGGGGGGGGAGACGAGAGGCCGAGCGGAACTGAGCCGAGTTCGACAGGGGCGGTATCACCTCCGAGTCGGCTAGGATGTCGGGACGCACCTGAGCACATGCGACCCTGGGCGTGACCTTAGACTAAGGTAACATTAGTCTTATCTTAGGTAACTCAATTACACGATATGGTTCTGAAGCACTCAACGGTGCGTCATCGCTCAACGGTGCGTCATCATCACGCTCAACGTCATCACGCTCACGCTCAACGGTGCGTCATCTGAAGTACTCTAATCGCTCAACGGTGCATCAAGATGCGAACGTCATTGGCGTCCTATCTCACTAAGCCGCCGCCGTGCTAAGTGATACATATCGCAGATAGCCATGACGTGAGACATGCGAGCGAGAATGTTCTCCATTAGGAATTGTGAGTAACCCTCTTATACGCATAGCTTGCGGGGAATCACGGGCGTCACTGCCGATTCTCCGGTTTTGTGTGGCTGTGCGCATTTTTCCGTCAGCAATGCAGAAGCCACACCAAGCGTGACCAGCTGCCCGAGATAGCACACACCGTGACACAAATAGCGCACGCCGTGATAAGCCGCCCGCGCTGACCCGACCAGTGCACGGCCGGCGGGCGGCGGCGGCCCGGAGTCTACCCCGGGGGCTGTCGGGTCAGCGCAGCAGCGCAGGCCAGCCGGCCGTCGCGGTGGGGAGCGGCGCCGCCCGCAGGGCAGCCGTCCCGCCGCGGCAGCACGGGGAGGTGAGCCGGCGGCAGGGTTAACGGCCGCGGGTCGGCGGGTCACCGAGCTGGTGTCGCTGTCCACGGCCGGCGGTCTCATGGGCCGGCCGAGCCTGGTCCGACGCCTGCTGTCACGCTCCCTTACGCAGCCTTACATCAAAAGCTGATGAGAGAAGCAAGCTGATTTTGTCTTAAGTAGCTCAGCACTGTATCCACGGAACCCCGCCCGTGCACTTCACCAGCGTAAGAACAGAGCGCGAGGGAGTGGGCTGCTGGGTCTGGAGCCCGCGCGTTTTTCGTAACAATTAACGCCCATTTACGGTAACTCATGGCAAGAACTTCCAAGAAAAAAGGGTTTCGACTCGCCCATTTCAAGGCGCTCCTGTGCCCCTGGCACTGAACAGGGGATTGCTGGCACCACCAGTGGCGTCCGCCGAGCCTGCTTCCATCAGGAGATCAGCCAAGCCCGAAGGCGGCTGCCCGGGCGCCGTAATGAGCTCCAGACGCGATCCCCCAGCCCGGCAACCCGAGCGCGAGCGGTCGCGACGAAGCCCGCGGAGCAGACCACGCCTCACAAAACGCACCGCACAAGTCCCGCACCGGCTCCAGGACTGGCCTGCGTTACTCAGCGGTGTGGTAAGCACCACGCCGACCCAGGGCACGGCCGGCAGGAGTCAATACGCGGGTACCGCCGCGGTGGTGGCGTGCGACCGCTCCGCCAGACGCTACATGACCGGCGGCCAACTAATGAAAACAGGCCG